TATGTATGTATGTGTGTGTGTGTGTGTGTATGTATGTATGTATGTATGTATGTATGTATGTATGTATGTATGTATGTATGTATGTATGTATGTATGTATGTATGTATGGACGAGTAGCAGTCTGAGAGAGTGTACATCAATGGCGAAAGGCAAAGTATGCTGAAGACCTATCGTAGCAAACCTTTATTCTGAAGACGACACCTGACTGATCTTGGTAATAAGAAACGAAATTAATACTGTAAACGTTCGTCTTCTTCTTCTTCTATTCTTTACTCCTGGAATGCCTCGCGGCGTCAGGGCAGGAAGAGATCTCTGGAACAAACCCTTCTAGTCGCTTCGTAGAAAGTACTTTTCAGTGTCTCTGACATTTCTGCTGTTCATGTTCTGCATGGTCGACCTCGGGCTCTGTTACCGCTATATCTGACTACAATTGCTCTATGTGGTGCCCTTTCTAATGCCAATATTGTTACATGGCCAAACCATTTGATTTGTTGTCTACCTATAAAGTTCAATATTGATTCTACGCCGACTCTCCTCCTGATATCTTCCTTCCTAAGTCGATCTTTCCTCGTCACACTTAGCATAGTACTGTAGTGACTATTTCGTTAATAGCCGAAAAACTCCGACACAAACAGGAAATGACGACACCAGCTTACGCAGACTGAAAACATGAAAGCAGAGTCTTGTACAGATCCTTTCTTTTGGCAGAAGTTATTGCTTTGCAAGTTTATCACATTCTCGCCGTTTTGTATCCGACCAGTTATACAATGAACATGTACACAGTAAGCGAAAGACTAGGTAAAATACAATTATTCGGCGCGGTGATGGCAAACATCGTCATTAGTTACGCGCAGGGGCACCGAAATGAAAAACACTTTGGGGTGGGAGTGTGGCTTTGTGACTTTGTGGCTTATTGGTTAGCGAATACGGTTATAATCTCATGATCCTCGAACAATGATTTTGGAACAATGGTACGAGAATCATACTGTTAAAGGGTATAGAGCCTCACTACGTACATACCAAAAAGACAACATTGTGGAAGTAGCACCTAATGTTTTTTATGGAGGGGGGGGGGGGGGCCGCAGCACAATGGTAACGTACGGACGCGCTGGTCACTTGTCCTCCACCCACGAGCACAAGAGCCACAGCCCAATCTGTGTGTGTCAAGTGAATGGTATTTACAAGAAGAAAACAATTGCCCCTAAATGGTTATGGTTAACACCCCCAACACTCTGCTTTCCCAAGGGCCCATGATGCTGTTAAGACGACTCTGTGGGGGAAGGGCCCCTTATTCATTTTCTACGAAGAGGGTCTAAATAGGTCTTATTTAAGCGTAGTGATGATGATGATAATGATAATAATAATAATACAAATTTAAAAAAAAAGGAAAAGGCCTTGTCCAGCCCTTTAGGCGTATAGGGTATATAGGGCTAGACTGTAATTTTTTTTTCTTCTATTCCTAAGTATTCAAACCGCTTTAAGGGCAGGTGTGCCGCGACAAAAGAATTGTCTGACAAGGGTGCCGCGGCAAAAATGTTTGAGAACCGCAGGCCCTGGGGACGGGAATGATCTAGCGACGCACTTCCCTTTAAAAAAAATTTTTTTTTCTTAATAAGGGGAAGAAAGGGGGCGGGGGGGGGGGTCTAAGTCTCCAGGTTCTGGTTCCCCTGGCTTCGTGATGTTCTCAGTAATGTTTCGGTTTCCGAGATATGCTGTTTATCAGCAGTTTTAAAAATAAACATACGGATCTTAAAGAACGTCACTATTTGTCATAATACATGGCATTCTAAGAAACTGGGTGTGCGTAAGTGTTTGTATGTGTGTGTGTGTTTGTAATATACATTCTTCTTCACTAGCCACTGAGCTAGGGCCTTACTTACACCCGATATCCTCTATAATAATGCCACTGTGTTCAACTGTTTTCCGTTTTCTTGTTGTTTAGGTTAATCTTATTAAGCCTCGGAGCAAGTCCGTGTAAAGAAGATGGAAGCCCAGTTAGGACAAACGTAAGCTGCATCGGAATTCATAAGTCTTTATGAGTTATGTGTTGGGTTATTTCTACACAGCACTCTAGGCATACCCATAGATGCTCAGATATCCCCCGCCCCCCCCCCCCCCACGCAGTATATGCATCACTCTGCCCTACTAGTCCGATGCTAGTTGATAAGATTTCTCGCAGGGTGCCTCTTAAGCCTGGCTGTAGTGCTTTTTTTTTTTACTCTTAGTGCTTGCAGCCTAAGCAGCGACACGGACGCGCTGCTCCTAAAACTTCTAATTCCCTTATCTGAGTAAGGTCATTAACATGTGGCCTAGATTCACAGGCTAGCCATGAGTTGGCCACGACAGGCTTTAGTATGTATGTCTGAGACAATAATAGGTATAAGAAGAACTCCACAGAGAAGCATGCAATGCAGGGGTCTACCAATGAACAGTAGAAAGATCCCTCGTCGACGATTGTTTTAGACCATTACTTCCCTTTACAATCGCGGAAGTTGAGCCGACTTGGGTCATGACTCTAGACCTCGATCTTTCCCTGCTGCACTTTATCAGACTTTCAGACAGGACAAGACGATATGGTGACTATGTAACAAGCATTGTGAGATTTGGTGTTATATTGTAGCAAATTAGCCGACTATCTTCACGACCAGAGTGACAAGCTTACGGTTGGTTCATCGGACTGTGTTAGACTTTGGCATTAGGCAGAGAGACACTTTGGCTTGATAGGGATGAAAAGTTCTTTTCCACTAGGGGCTTGGACCAGTCTACCAAGGCTCATCCCACACGACGTTCCGTTGTGTCCAAAGCGAGCTCGAAGTCCTTTCAGCTGATTCGCCCAGTTGTTTTAGTGACCGTTTACGCTCTGTTCCTCGCAAGCCCAGCTGCTTTAGTACATTGTGGAAGTGGAGAAAAGTCTTCTTGCTCCAACATCGACGGCGAAGATTTTTACTGAGTACGCTTCGTCTTTCCTCAGACCGGCCACGAGTTTCCCGTACTTTTCGAGCTTGTACACCTGAATTTCTTCCATCCGCGACTTGTACAGCACGGTCACCTCTATCAGGATGAGCTGGCGTTTTTTCGCAGAGTGCAGAACCATGTCTGGCCTCAGACCGGTCTTTCGGATTGACTCTTGTGTATTTTTCGAAACCAGGCAGGTGGACAGCCAGTAACCAGTCTCTCGTAAGTCAAGTATTGATGAAACCTATGCGACCTTGTTGATTATACCTTTAGAAATCTGCCCAGCCTTAAGGAAGCGCATGGGCGGGAACGGTAGGACTGGCGCTCTTGGGGCTAAGCCTGGCTTGGTCCACAAAGTCCGTTAACTCTTTCAGGACTTTATTATGCCGACATATATATCGTCCCTGGGCTAGACTTTTCTGCACACAGACAGTACGTGCTCGAGCGTCTGCTTAGCCACTGCACAGAGGACATGTCGGGTCGGTTGTTGCAGACCACTTGTCCATGTTTGCACCAGTGGGTAACACATCATAAGCAGATCTCATGACAAAGCTCAACGGCAGCGGGTCCATTCACTAGATCTCACTCCATGTGAATATTTATGGCAAGGCGCTCTCGAAGCCGATCCACTAGCTTCCTGCGACTGTTGGGCTGCTTTCTGGACCCGAGTCTCGTTTTCGGTGTCCCTTATGTGCTGTACCACCATGTTTCTGCATTCTTTGGAAGAGGCTTTGATCCACCAAGTGACCTTTCCTTGCCCTAGGCCGCCTCGGTCGGTTTGTGTGTAAACCGTGACTTCCCTCAATTTCAGTGCTTTCTGAGCAGATTCTATCACATCTAGAGCCTTCCATTTCGCACCTGTCTTTGGAGCGGGCTGACAGCTGCCACCGTGGGGTCTGACGACTCGCACAGCATCGTCTCGAGTCTTACCTTGCCGACCTTAAACTCTTCTGTTACTGATTCGAACAGAAGTACCAACTTAGCCTACTTGAAACATCGGATCAACATCGGTCAGACAAGGGAGTGTTTCAAGCCATTTCCTCACTGTGCTGATATTTTTTTCTCCATAGTCTCTGAAGCAGTCATGGTCACCTCGTACACGAGCAGCAGCCAGAGGAGCTTTGGAATCAGTATGAACTGGAGACACCAGACCTTGAACTTCCCGATCAGCCTACATCGCTCGATAGCAAGCAGGCCTGTTGCCAGTGACTCATGCATACGTCGGACCTCTGCTCTATCAGATAACTTAGAATCGTAGACGCGGCCTAGTCTCTTCATCGGTTCATCCAGAACTGTGGGTATCCTTTTCTTTGCCACCGTGAAACTGGTTGCGGCGACTTTACCTTTAGGGATTGACAAATTTCTTGATTTCTGTGGCTTCATTGCTATACCAACCTGGAGTTCAGTCCACCCTATAGTTAACGCGTGGGTGGGGGGGGGGGGGGGGTATAAGAGTATATGGAAAACTGTAAAATATTGCTCGATCATTTCGGTGATCAGTGTCGGTACGTGGAACATGTGAAGGCCCTGCCATAATAGTTTATATGGTACCACCCCATAGGCGCTGTCGAGGTCCAACCATATCTCTGGATACTCTCCCAAATCATGGTCGCATGCTCAAAACACCCAGGGACGCCCGGAATTCCACTTTTCTGAACCGTTGTGTTAGTGAATTGTTTGCCATCACATACTGTGTGAGCCTGCGGACCATAACCGAGAAGAATATCTTGCCCTCAACGTTCAACAGTGAGATAGGTCTGAATAGGGATAGACTGGAGGAGTCTCGCTCCTTTGTAATGTAGACTCGGTTGTAGTATACACACACACACACACACACACACACACACACACGCACACACACACATACATACATACACACACCACACATACACACTCAGTCACACACTCACTCACTCTCTTACTCACTCACACACACTCACTCACACACACACAGTAATAATTGATTAAACCAATATTTTATGTAACAGAATGTTTATATGTTAGAAATGCAGGATCCAGCATCTCTCGTGCACGATGTATGAAAAATGGCAAAGCAAAATAGTCCCAAGGGAGCTACTAGCAGTGATGATGTACAACAAACCGTCTTGATTGTAACAAACGTGGATTCTGATATTTTCTCCAACGCCGAGTCACAGGTATGTGCTTTATAATCATATTATTAGTAGGAAACATTCCCCCCCCCCCCCCCCCAAAAAAAAAACCTGTCATAAACTGATCAAGGTGTTAGACCCATCAAATATGCAAACACTGAAGACTGGAGAGTGAAAACTTCGCTTGCTGTTGAAGATGGGGACGGGTCGCTTAAGGGAGTGTGGTGAGTGCTGTGATGTCGATTATTAATTGAACATTCATTATGAAAGCTTTTTACTGTATTGTGCTTAATTACTCTATTAGAACCCCAAATTTCACTTTTTATTTTTTTGAGTATTCAGTTAAATTTGAATACTTCAGTACAGGTAAAAACGTCGGCTCAGTGGCTAAGTCAATGCGAACGCTTCGTAATGCCGGGATGCCGCGTTCGATCCCAGCTGCGGGCCATGCGCCTTGCGTTGGTCTCAACAGTGGTATCAAAAAAGCCGAACGTTGAGAAAGCAATGGCAAACTACTGAACGTAAATTTGCCTAGAAAAACCACACAACAGCCAGGGGCTGTTGGGGTTGGTTCTGCAACGTCCTGTAAAGGATACGCAGCTAACCAACCAACAAGTGAAAACTAAAGTAAATTAATTCTACCAGTTATTGTCGGTTGTTTGTAAACGACAAGTGATGCTGGTGTTAAGCCGATGGAAAAGGGGCGCAAAATAAATCACCGCACAGGGTTGACATACATCTTAAATACGGCCCTGCATCAATGGAATATAGAAGGCAGTTATAATGTTGTGCAGAAAACTCAGTGTGTCTAACGGGTGATTGACAGGCAACGAGACAAAACAATGATATATCAAGGATGTAAGCATAAAGTAATCAACATGCAATGAACTGGTGATATGGTTTGGATTGCCTAAAATTAAAACTAACTATAATAATTTATGGGTATAACTGCTATAGACAGAAGAAGAGAGAATAGGAGGTAAAGGAGGATGAGAAGAAACATAAGAAAAAAGAAGACAAAGAAGACGAAAAAGAAAAAGAAGAAAATACACAGAAGACGAAGACTACGAAGAAGAAGAAGAAGAAGAAGAAGATAACAGATACAACAGTAACAACTAGGGCTGTACCGAATAGTGATTTTCGCTATTCGGCTGAATACGAATAGCGGGACCAACTATTCGGCCGAATACGAATACGAATAGTGCATAGTGTATAAAATATATCTGTTAAACATTTTAAAAACACATTTATAATGTCAAATGTACGCTGAACTTTTACTTCACATAAAGTAGCACATAATAGTCATCTTCTTCTTTAGCATTCTGAGCCCTTGAGGTTTACTGCTGCAAATATCACTCGTTTCCATTCATCTCTCTGGCTGAACTTATCTTCACAATTTGTGACACCAGTTGTTTGCAGGTCTGACAGGACATTATCTCTCGAACTTCTTTTTTGTTTGCCTCGTGGTCTACGCCTATTCCTCTCTCAGGTGTATACAGTTTTTACTTCTCTGTCATCTGATATTCTTTCAATATGCCCCAACCATTTCACTGTTAGCTCTCCTGATGCCAGTGATCAATGGTGATTTGAACAGATTATGTGTTACGTGGTTGCTTCTCACTCTCCATTCCCCGCTGTTAGCATCTTTGATGGGTCCAAAGATTTGTTGTAAGACTGTTTTCGAAAACCTGCAATAAGGCATCATCTCTGTTATTTCTGCTTCAAGTTTCAGAGCCATATAAAACGACTGGTCTTATCAACGTTTTATATATTTTGATCTTGGTGTTGCGAGATAGATACTTTGAATTTAGCAGATGTTGAAGGGCATAGTATACTTTATTTTTATATTGTATTTTAGATTGTATTTCTTCTCTCAGCATGTTGGAGCAGTTGAAGTTTGCACCCAAGTACTTATATGTTTCCGTTCGTTTGATTTTCATATTATCGACTTGGATGTGGCCGGAGTTTATATTCTTTCCATGTCTAGTTAGTATTCGTAAACATTTAAAAACATTTCATGTTTTGCATCCTTCAGTCAGTTTGTGGTAACTAATAACTAAACTTGGAAATTGTCACTGGCAGCTTAGTTAATGCAGGAAAGCTGCATTAGCTTTAAACAAAACCAATCGTTCCATGTTGTCAGCATTAAGGCAGTGTATGCAGAAGCGGGTGTAAGGTAACTACTATTCGTATTCGGCCCGACCGCAACTATTCGGCCGAATACCGAATAGTCTATAGGCCCAATATTCGGCCCCGAAGCGAATACGAAGCGAATATTCGGTACAGCACTAGTAACAACTACAATAGGAGATGTCTGGGACTTACTCCTTTGATTTTCACATCTAAATAGCAATTATTTGAATCATTGGGTGTCATTCTTTCAGGCAATATTTCTCGACGAAAAATTAAAACAAGATTTAAAAAATACACATATTTTCCTCAGGCAGTGTTCGAATCCACATTTCGCGACGTGGATGGCCAGGTCAGCTTCACATATTTACGACAGCAACACCGGGCCAGGCTGCAATTTTCCTCCCCAGATTTGGCTTCTGAAGCTAAGGCAAGATACGACGGCATGATGATGTTTGGCCAAGTCATTGGCTGCTTCTTTGTTCAGGTACGTCCTTCTTTTCTTGCGTCAATGTCTACTTTCTGCTGCTATTCGTTACAGTTTAACAGGTGATATACACCCGAGCCAGGGCGCGCTCGCAAGCTTCGTATGATGTAATGTCTTAAATTGTCAACGTCTCCCTCAACCCATCTTCTTCTAGGTCTCTGTCTGCCACTTGATGTGTCCATATCCACGCTGTAAGCCCTAGCTGCTCCAGGCTGCGGAAAAGTCTAGGTGGGCTGCCAACAATGTATGTTGAATTATATAACAGTGTAGGGTAGGGTGTTTTGACTGTAGCTGATGTATGACAAATTAACACATCAAGGATGAGAATGAAGCAGGTACAAATCCCTGACTCTGCTCAGCCACATAAAACAGTTATATTAGGGCACAAGACGGGTACCTATCAATGCCATGAGCTGCACTTACCGTAACGACGAGCAACCCAAAAGACATGACTCCGTATCCCTGGCTAGACTGATGGACATGGAGGTGCAACATGGAGCTGCAAGAAATGAACATTTCACTAAGTAGGCAAGACGTTTCATTAACCAACACAGAACAGGCGTGATCAGTCGTTTTACACTTGTGGAGCTTTTGAGGAGGAGTTCGGAGCATTTATGGATCTGTTCGGAGTGCTGTGATAATAATCCTTTCGAATCAGTAATCACTAATCACGGGTACGTAATTGGTAGTCCAGTTTGGGCTGAGAACAGGAACTGAAACACATGCAGCGGCTATATGGTTCCGGCACTACACTGCTAAAAAGCAATCGTGGCGTTGTACGCGACAATTTAGTACGACAAAAGCGAACTGTCACATAACATTTGGCAGTAAAGAAATAGATCACAGATGAAAATAAGCACAAGAGAGGATATCATAATTCTAAAAATTTTTGCTGTACTGCACTAGCACTCTACATAGATGCAGCTAAAAACACTTTTTAAATGAGCTTTATCTGATAAATTCTAACACTATCGGCTAGATGGACACTTATGTGGCATTAGCTATATATCATCTGCTGGGACTGAATTCATTGTTCGACCTTCTCTATTGATGGGAGTTTTCTGAACAGACCATAACAAGTTGAGCCTTTTGTGCCAGTCAATTTACATTTTTCTGTAGTTAAATTACCCTTGGATATCACATAATTGAAGCGTGAATGTTGGCACTTTCTTTATACTGCTTGTATGTATAGATATCATTCACATCTACATTTGTTTTTTGTTTCTGTGATTGGTTAGATGGGCCGTGAAAGGGTTTCCTCTGTTTTTGTGGGCCGCGCGTGTAAACTGATTGTGGAACACTGCTGCAATCCCTTCATTTGTCACACGTTTTCTTCAACCCACATAATTCCACTTGCATTTTGTAGTATCCCTGATTACTGGCTACTGATCTAAGAATCGACATCATGGCACACCACGTACACCTGTAGTTACCCCGTCTACCGCAGCAAATATTTTAAGGTACAGATGCAGATTTCTAAACGAAGGTGACGGCATGGGGTGAACCGAAACGCCATTACAAAATACAAGTACACTTAGCATGAGAAGACTGAAGGTCCATGCTCCTGTGCGCACGAGAAGAAGTCTCAATAATGTGAACAGTGTGATTCCCCGACTTCACCGACTGTCGTCCATTTTGTACGCAGTGCAGACTTGGAAAATATGATTCTTCTTTGATTGATTGATTGATTGATTTGATTCAAGGACCGACATCACAGCACTCGGGGCATTCCCATAAGCGCTCCGTCGCCATCTTCAGCAGCCAGCGAAGAGTTCCGATACTAATGGTGCCAGTAGCTTTCTGATTAAACGTCCGTCTTGCTTTTCCTCTGAGCCTTGATCTTCTGCCAGAACCTCTCGTCACCCCCAACTGTATCAATCTCACCAAACTGTGGTGATCCATCTGCTCCTCCGAATTGTACACGCTTTCCCACAAGGCGCTAACCACGTCTGCCCTATTATGTATCAGTATTCCACCAAGTTGTGCAGAGCCAGCCAGTCTGTCCGCCTGTTCATTTCCCAACACATCGGCTTAACCCGGTGAAAAAATCCAGACAATACTTCTCACTCGTATCCTCCGCAGCGAAGCATGCCACTTTGCACGAAGCATACCTGTTCTAATCTTCCTCAGCATGCTTTCTGAATCAGTTACAATCACGATGTGTGTGTTTGTGTCGTGTTCTCTAGCCAGCGGAAAGCTGCAGTGACCGCCTCCACCTCCATTCTTAAGCTGGATGTTGTGGTATCATATGCTAGGCTTTCCTGCACCAAACGTCGACCATTAACTTTTGCTAAGAAGCCCCAAGCACTTCTTTTGCCTCTTGACACTGAACCGTCTGTGTAAATGATCAAATCCACCGAGCGAGCATTATCTTGAATTAAATGCTGAATTTCCACCTCTGTGGCACCTGCTGACCAGTCTCTGCATTCCCGGCTCAGCGTGATTATGACTCTACACAGGTCTGACTGCTCAGGTGACACTTTAACCCACTCCTCTCCTCGCCTAATGTTCTCAAGGATGCAAACCTGTTTGATTGTGTCTTCTGCCTGAGCCATCCATGACCTCCCTCTTATCAGCCGCTGATTCTTCTTTGAAATGATTTTCCATCTGTCCACTTCAAATTTGCAGTGACTGCCTTTATTTCCAAGACTTTACCTCACAGCGAGAACTAATTACTTACTTCAGAAGTTGACGATCTTTTGGCACAACACGAGTGGGAAAAACTGGATAACATTGTGGATTGGGAAAGTTGCAAAGGGAGAGAACTTACGGGAGACAAAAAGATAAGTTGAATTCATTGGTAACTTTCTATGTAAGAACATGTGTATCAGAAATGATAGACAGTATAAATGACAGAAGGCTGTCGACAAACATGATTATATACGACACTTGCAAGGACCATCATGTTAACAGCAGCAGCAGCAGCAGCAACAACAGCACCAACAACAACAATAAGAAAAGAAGACGGAATATAAAGATGAGGAAGAAGTAGAAGAAGGAGGTTGGAGAAATAGAACGATGAGGAAAAGAAAGATGTTAAAGAAGACGAAAAAAAGGGTGGGGTCGGAATGTGAGGCACAAAAGGTAGCAGGAACCAGAAGTGGTAGTAGTAGTATCAGAAGTGTTAGTAATAGTAGTAGTTTATCCTGATTAAGCCTCACAAAACATCAACTAACATGTTTGATTTAGCATAAATATTTTTTGTTTAGTCTCAAGGAGCGGTAGACACCAATTTCCTCATTCCCCCAAAACTGCAGCGAGCATATCTCTTATCTCCCCCTGCCTCGCCTCCGGTTGGCTGGAAGGGCGGGCCTGACCTTGAACCCGTTGTAGACCAAGAACTGCTTGCGGCCATTGGAAACCTTGAATCAGGTTGGCGAAGACTGTTAATTTTGATATAAGCGTCGCACCTTTGTTTTCTGCGTTCGCCATTAAAAGTTAGTTTGGCATGTTGTGCCGTGGTTTACAGCTAGACTGCGATATCTGTACAATTTTCTTTATCCACCTACTGATCATCTACCTTCTTCTTCTTCACCGGCTGATCTTCTATCTTTCTTTCTTTTGCCCCACCAGGACATCACACAAGCGATAAACACTCGATGACACAAAGTGCCACCAAGAGGATGAGGATCACCAGTGGAGAGGTCCCAGAAACCGCTTTCAGTCATTAGACCATATTTATAGCCGGACTATATTTCTTGCGATTTCTTAATATTCAGTCATTAGACCATATTTATGGCCGGACTATATTGCGGCCCTAGCAGAAGCCAGTGTAGGGCTTCAAATAACCAAAAATTGCACTTAGAGATCTCAGGTTTTACTATTTGGCATTTCGAGGGAATCCAAGCTGTGTGGATCAGTGAAAGACATGAACCGCACCACAGACTTCATATGGGTCTGCTGCCTTTTCAACTGAAAGCCACGGGCAGAGAACGAAATCAAGAAAAATCAGTAAATAATGTTAATGTATTTGCAGAAGTAACAACTTTGCCATGTTGTTATTATCTCCCGTTATTTTAATTAGTAGCTTATGTTAGTGGATTAAATTGGGGAAAAAGGGGGGGGGGTAGTGGGGTCCATGGGTTCATTATAAGAGAGTTTTAATCAGCCTATAGAAATATTCTCATGCAAAACATTGCATCTCCACCCTATTAAGCGGAAGATCGACTTCATTGCACTGCGTTTTATCCCGTGTGGTTTAGTCTCTCTATGCAGATGGGCAGCTGCCTGCAGAGAGCGCAGCACAAAGTGAGCACTTCCTAGCTCTAACGACGATCCCTATGGGTCTGAGTACAAATTGTACTCGTGAATTAAACAACGCAGCCGTGAAACGAATCCACGACCTTCAGAACGCTGGACAAACGGCTTGACCACTTCGCCACTGTGACCCCACCCTAGGCTACCAGTACACTCGATCACCCAAAACAAACTAAGCAATTAGTAAACATAAAATGAGATGTCAGAGAAAGGCTGCGGGAGTGACCACAAGAGATAAAGTGAGGAATAAAGACAGCAGATAAAATGTCGGCACAGAACCAATACTAAATTACATTTAAATACAGTAAACAAAAAGGTTTGTCCGGCTAGAGAGAATGTCTTACGACACCCTACCGTAAAAGATATTCAGCAAAAGAGGAGTGGGAGGAAGATAATGAGGTAGACCAAGAGCCCTATGGAATGGAAAGATATAATCAAAGACATTCTACAACAGTACGAACTGTCAATGGTCATAGAGAAGGTCATGGTCTAGCTAGGCGATCAGAAAATCAAGATGCAAAACATGATATCTTCCTCGGTTACGGAAGCTGGAAAAAAGGAAGTGAAGAAGAAGTTGCTTGTTTATATTTGCTATTGTAAAACAAAATATTCGTTGACTGAAATTATATTGTTTTGATTTTTAGAACATTTTACATATGATATGGTAATTTGTTATGAACTTTCAGGCAAAGCTCTTGTGATTCATCGAGATGCTGACAATCGTCCGAATATTATACTTCATCTTTCTGACGATATTGCAGGGAAACAGCCTGGCAAATAGAGTATGCCATTTTCAGAAATGGAGATTACAAGAAATCTGGCAACATTCTTGTCTAAAACCGTTCTTCTTCTTCTTCTTCTTTTTTTCTCTTCTTCTTTTTCTTCTTTACCCCTCAATGTAGCATATAGCTTCAACTACTTCGCTACTCTTTTACTACGAGGCTCAGCTGTACAATATTCTCCCGAAAGTTCATGTCCGCTGCCTCCATACTCTTTATTGTTTGTTCTTTCACACTCCCAGGTTCATTCAGCTCTTGCCAATCATTTGCTATATGCCAATGCTCTTTTTCTGTAGTTCAATGCGCAATATTTTTGTTGTTGTTGATAATTTCAACATCTGTTTAGAATTAGACTCTGAAACTTTCAGCAGATTAAACTCCAAACTATAGATAAAATAAATGGACTATTGTCTTTCCATCTATATTAATAAAATTGTTAATTTTCCGAGTTTGTTAAATATAGACTCGGACACCACTGAACCGATTGCTTTCAATTTTTTACACAACGTTGCCTTTGACTCATGCTTTTTTTTTTTTTTTTGGGGGGGGGGGGGGGGGGGGTCATAAAATCGCACAAACCATGAACGACGTAGCCCCAGCAACAGTCAAATCATTATTTGTTTCGTTGCCGGCCCGGATTTGTTTTTAGTTGATTGGCTACCCTCGACTGCTGAGCAGGTCTGCTAATAGATGTCTTTTCTCCAAGGACCAGTCTCCAACATTTCTTTACCGATCGCTTTCAAATTTTCACACAACGTTGCCTTAGACTCCGTGCGTGTTTGTATGTATGAGTTTTGCACAAACCACGAATGACGTAGCTACAGCAACGCTAATTTCATTAGTGGTTTCATTGCCGGCCTGGATTTGTTTTTAGTTGTTTTCCACCTTTGACTCTGTGTGTAACACCGAACTTCACATTATTATATATTTTTATTTCTACTAAATGCTTGAATAGTTATTAGCGTAGTTAGTTATAAGCAATTCGCCTTTCACGCGATAGGCGTTCGATTCCCCGCTGGCTGATATAATTTTTTTTGAGTGGCTGAGTGGCTGCCACGTTTTGTTGTGGTTTATAGCTAGGCTGTAATATCTACGCCTTTTTCCCCGCTCGATTTTGAGGTTTACAGCTAGTCTGCGATAGCGGCGACGTGATGCTCAATGTTCATGTCACGGGTAATATTTGCTCGCCCTTGAGAGGGTGGTTGGCACGCTGTGTTGTGGTTTACAGCTAGGCTGCAATATCTGACCTAAAGTCTTCAGTTTTCTGTAGTAGAGTGGTAAGTATTCCGCCCTTCACACGGATGACCGGTGTTCGATTTCCCGCTGGGTGCTAATTTTTCCTTTTCCCCTAAAGGTGCGTTTGGCATGTTGTGTTGTGGTTTACAGCTAGTTTGCGATATCTGCGCCTTACGCCCAAAGACATCCGATTTCAGTCCAAATTAGCCTCCCCCCGACGCTTCACAAAAATATTTGTTGATGACAGAAACTGTTAACTAAGTCGGCTTATGGTCCAGTTTGGTTTGGATCGACACGGATGCCAAGGTTAATTAAACACACATCGTCCCTTCAGAGAGGAAAAGATGACGAGTTTATATTTCCGCTATTTGTGAGTATAGAGTACTCTTTTTTTTTCAATCACGGAATATTACTTTGTAACCACCACTGGTTAGGTGGTGGAGTTTTATGTCGGGGGCACACTTAAACTAAACAGTCTGTGGCGACAGCATGCGGCGCCCTCTGGCTACAACGACCTGCACAGACAGTAGTGACCGTTTTATGTTGTTGTTGTTGACACGGTGGTGGTAGTAGTGGTAGCAGTAGTACTGGTACTCGATAGGTGATGTGGTAGCTGTTACACTGACCACATTTACTTCTCAGTACAGATTAATGCTACACATTTTAGTCTGGGTGGACACGGATGCCAAGCTCAATTAAACAACAACATTTCGTCAGGCAATGGCTTTCCCATACTTCGTAGAGCATGATATGATTGTCACGGGGGAGGAAGGGGCGGTAGTGGGGGGGGGGGGGGGGTCGATGCCAGACACTGTTAACTGAGAGAACTTAAATTATTATTTTAAAGTTCTAATTTCTTAACTATTTTTATTTTAAGAATGTCACTACGTGATAATTGTTAAATCATTCTGAGAGGGAGATATGATTGGGGAAGAAACTGGGAGGGGGGGGGGGAGGGGGTTATGACAGACACTGTTTGCTCAGAGAGCTTATAACTTTATTTTACAGTTCTCATTTCTTACATATTTATATTTTAATACCGCTTCCTCAGCTATTCTCATTTTTTTGTGCCAGTTTGTTGGTTAGCTAGAGGTATAGCAGTCAGCTTTACTTTTACCTGTTTATGCACAACAAATGCTTTAGCCTCGATAAACATTTTTTCTTTAACAGTGCACTTTATTCGAACACTAATAACGACATTCATTGATATGTTGCGTGTTCTAGAGTTGGCATATCAGATTATCTCTGCAGCTGTGCAATGACTGATATTACCCATATTAGACAGGTGCGCTTTCTATTTTCTTTCTTTTCCAGTTTACCAGTCTGGGCCACAGCAACGCGTGGCCGGTTACAGCTATTTTTTTTTTTTTTAATTCAAAGGCCACAATGCCTCAATCATTGGTCGTAACAAAAAAATGTGTGACAGTACTGTTTTTAAGCAGTACTCCAAGATATATAAACTTCAAAAAAAGAAGGGGAGGGGGTGAGGGGGGGGGGTGAGGGGGGGGGGGTGAGGGGGGGGGGGGGGTGAAGGAGTAGGGTATGTTGTCGAAACTCTCAACACTGCTAACACTTTTCGAACTGTCACCATGAACTATCTGACAGTTAGATCTCGGCAATTCATTTGGGGGTTTTTTTTTTTAGATCAAAAGAAGTACACCGGATTGGTGTGCGTTTTAACTGCGACCACATTCACAAACCGCTAGTCCACACTGACTGGTCAAGTTAAACATATTTATATCTGATGATATGACTGTTCCCAGATATTTAAATTTATTGACTTGGTTAAGTCTTTTTACTTCAATTGAGATATCACAACATGGAATTATCTTCTTCTTTGACATCACCATTTCTTGCGTTTTCTTTATATTCAATGAAAGTAAATGGCGATACAACGCTTACATGTTGAATGAATGTTGAATTAAGAATCGACATCACAGCATTCGGGACACTCTCATGAGCGCTCCGTCCCCATCTTCAGCAGCAAACGAAGAGTTCTAATTCCGATGGCACCTGTAACTATTTGATTGTGCATCCGTCTCGCCAGATCCCCTAGCAACTCTTCGCAGCGCCATTCTCCTCAGGCTGTAATGAACTGTTTGCACTTCCGCACTGTCCACTCGCTTCCGGAGGGCTCTCACAACATCTAGCTAGTCATACATCAGTGCACCACCAAGTGGTGCACCTATAAAGACTTATACTTAACAAACTAACAATGGAATAGAAGAATAGCAACTAAACAATCATTTTTATTCTCGTTGAAGAATTTCAGCGGTCGTATATCTCTTATTACTCTGAGTAGTTTACTATCCACTAATCATGTAGATACATACTCCACCCTTAGTCGTTATTACATTCTCCATCGTATGCCTTGTTGACAGTTCCACAAGTGGCAACGAACATTTCACAGTCGTTGTTGTAAGTTTGGCCGTTAGTTCCACAGACCTGTGCATAATCATAGTCACACAGAATCTGGAAGGAGCAAGGAGCACCGTCAACTGAAAATTCGCAAAGCGGAGAATTCAGACATCAGAAAGAAATATAGAACTATGTCAGGTCACATTGCGTGTACCGAAAAAAAACACACAAAAACTGGTTGCGGGTCCTTTTCATAATTTCGTAAATTAAGCCCAGAACTTGCTTGCTGTATGGAAGAGCACTTACTGGCTGTATGAGAGAGCACTTACTGGCTGTATGTGAGAGCACTCACTGGCTGTATTGGAGAGCATTTACTGGCTGTATGGGAGAACATTTACTGGCTGTATGGGAGAGCATATACTGGTTGTATGGGAGAACATATACTGGTTACATGGGGGAACATCTACTGGCTGTATGGGAGAGCATATACTGGTTATATGGGAGAACATTTACTGGCTGTATGGGAGAGCATATACTGGTTATATGGGAGAACATTTACTGGCTGTATGGGAGAGCATATACTGGTTGTATGGGAGAGCATATACTGGTTATATGGGAGAACATTTACTAGCTGTATGGGAGAGCATATACTGGTTATATGGGAGAACATTTACTGGCTGTATGGGAGAGCATATACTGGTTATATGGGAGAACATTTACTGGCTGTATGGGAGAGCATATACTGGTTATATGGGAAAACATTTACTAGCTATATGGGAGAGCATATACTGGTTATATGGGAGAACATTTACTGGCTGTATGGGAGAGCATATACTGGTTATATGGGAGAACATTTACTGGCTGTATGGGAGAGCATATACTGGTTATATGGGAGAACATTTACTGGCTGTATGGGAGAGCATATACTGGTTGTATGGGAGAGCATATACTGGTTATATGGGAGAACATTTACTAGCTGTATGGGAGAGCATATACTGGTTATATGGGAGAACATTTACTGGCTGTATGGGAGAGCATATACTGGTTATATGGGAGAACATTTACTGGCTGTATGGGAGAGCATATACTGGTTATATGGGAGAACACTTACTGGCTGTATGGGAGAGCACTTACTGGCTGTATGGGAAAGCACTTACTGGCTGTATGGGAGAGCACTTACTGGCTGTATGGAAGAGCACTTACTGGCTGTATGGAAGAGCACTTATTGGCTGTATGGGAGAGCACTTACTGGCTGTATGGGAGAGCACTTACTGGCTGTATGGGAGAGCACTTACTGGCTGTATCGGAGAGCACTTACTGGCTGTATGGGAGAGCACTTACTGGCTGTATGGAAGAGCACTTACTGGCTGTATGGAAGAGCACTTACTGGCTGTATGGGAGAGCACTTACTGGCTGTATGGGAGAGCACTTACTGGCTGTATGGGAGAGCACTTACTGGCTGTATGGGAGAGCACTTACTGGCTGTATGGGAGAGCACTTACTGGCTGTATGGGAGAGCACTTACTGGCTGTATGGGAGAGCACTTACTGGCTGTATGGGAACGATTATCAGCACCCACGGGCTATATTGAACTCTAGTGCTGATGGAAGATTGTTGATGGGGTGAAGGCTATTGTGCACGAGTATAAGATCACCAGTGTCAATAAACTTTAGTACCGTTAAAAAATTGATGTAGGGGTGGCGAGGACAATGATGGCGTGCACGATTACCAGAATTTCCGTGCTAGGTAACTTTAGTTCTCACAGAAGATTGTTGAAAAAAACAATTTTTTTTTTTTTGGGGGGGGGGGGGGCGAGGGGGGTAGTTCTGGTGAACACGAGTATCAAAATAGTCTCCTTCTGGCGTCTGGTATAAGTCAAACCTTGTAGGTAGCTATAACTGGGTGATCCGTAACGACTGTATCAAATATTATTCTGGTGGTATTCTCTTGTACTACCAATAACAACAACTACAACTACTATAACAACATCAGCTACGTATACTATAACAACAGTTACAACTACTGTAACAATAAACTCAACGACTGCAACAACCACTGCCACTACTATAACTACAACAACAGCTTCCACTATCACAACAACCACTACTGTAACAAAAACTACTACTATAACAACAATGCTTACTACTAAAACAACAATACTTTTAAAACAACAACAACAGCTTCTGCTAATATTACTACAGCTGCTGCTGCTACTATAATAACTACCATAACACATACTTCTACTACTACAACAACTACTATTCCAACAAATACAACTCTACTATAACAGCAACGACTGCTACTATATCAACAACAATAACTATTATAACAATAACAATTACTATAACAACATCAACTGATATAACAACAACTACTACTATTAAAACAACTACTATTATAACAATGACTACTACTGTTACAACAACTACGATAACAACAACTATAATAACTACTATAACAACAATAACTACTATAACAACAATGAGTAAAACTACTACTATAACAGCAGCTACTACGACGTTAACAATAATTACTACTAAAACAACAACACCTACTAAAACAAAAACCACTACTATAAAAGCAACTACTACTGCTACTACTACTACTACTCTATACAACAACAACAGAAATAACTACTTCTACAACCATAGATACTGCTAGCACTATTACCACCACTACCACCACCACAACAATTACTACTGCTGCTACTGCTGCTACTACTATTACTACTACTACTATTACCACCACTACTACTACTACCACCACCACCACTACTACTACTACTACTACTACTACTACTACTACTACTACTACTACTACTACTACTATTACTACTACTACTACTACTACTACTACTACTACTACTACTACTACTACTACTACTACTACTACTACTACTACTACTATTACCACATCTAATATGTTTTTACCTGTATCAAGAATGACACAGAACAAGAGACACGTAAAAACTAGTTTCCACATAGTCCTGCAGATTATAATCAAGTTACAATAAACACTGAGATCTGACTCTCAGTTCGCGCAATACTTTTAATTTATACGCGCAATTAATTAAGACACTTTATCAAAGCAATGGGGAGAGTGGCGATGTGACAGGAGTGAATAATTACTGTTTCTGACAAACCATGTGTGCTTTCTCACATTGCTTAACTATTATCTGCGTGCTCTAGTCACGCTTTGCCTAATCTCGACAATATAAGATAGTCAATTAGACAGCAAAATGGAAGGTTAGTAGTTTAGTTAACACACTTTGATTACTTTATTTCCGGGAAATATTATAAGTCTTGAAGAAGGTTTGAAAAAACGCTACGCCCTATTATCGAAACACAACTTAGTGAAGAGCAAATGGGATTTCAGTGTATCAGAAATTATACTGACTAATATTCACAGATAGACAATTAGTGGTAAGGGCGGTAGAATTCGATAACGAATTACACGTCGCATTCGTAGACCAAGAGAAAGCTTTCGATCTAGTTAATAGGAATAAAATATAGAAGGTACTGCAGGATTACGAAGTAAATAAACATCTTTTTAAATGCTGCCAGAGTTTACACGTGAACAGACAATGCGCAGTTAAAACAAATACAGGAATGTCAGAAAAGTTTTACTTTAGATCTGGAGTAAGACAGGGGTGCGTTTTATCACCACTACTGTTCATCTCATACGTCGACCAAATTTGCAAATCAGCTAACACCAGCGAAGGGAACAACATCGGAGAATTACTAAACGAATTACTTTTCGCCGATGACCATGACCAGGCAATCAAAGCACCAACAGCAGTACAACTGCAAGAACATAATAGATTCCATTCAGAATGCGACATCTATGATATAAAGATCAACGTCGACAAAACAGAAGTGATGACATTCTCTAGAAAAGAAAGAATCACCAATATCAATATTGTTGAACACCGGTTAAAGCAAGCGAAAGATTTTACATATCTGGGGAGCATCTTTTTCAGAAGACGGAAGAATTATTAAAGAAACACAGCAAAGATGCAATAAAGCCATATAAATTTTAGGCCAAATGGCACTAATTTTGAAATCAAGGATGTGAATATGAACACTAAAAGAACACTGTTCAACAATATTCCTATCAAAGCTATGCTATCAGTGTCAAATGTGGACACTGTCTTCAAAATACAGAAGGAAAATAGGCACGACAAAAATGAAATGTTTACCTTCTACGCTAGGTATAATTAGAAAAGATCGACTTAGGAACAATGATATTAGGAGCAGAGCCGGCGCAGAACCAGTACCGAATTTTATAAGTTGACAACAAATCAATTGGTTTGGCCATGTAACAAGAATGGCATCAGACAGGGCACCACAGACAGCAATGCTATAAAGATAGAGGTCGACAACGCAGAAATGGACCACAGAAATGTCAGAGACTGAAAAGTACTTTATATGAAGCGAACAGAAGGGCCCGTTCAAGAGATTTCCTACAATGACGCTGTGAGGCATTCTATGGGTAGAGAAAAAAAGAAGTATAAACAAATTTAAGAATAAAGATTATATAAAATGGGTGTCGTTTAAAACCCGTAGACATTTTCATGTGTGGAACTAAGCCCCTCCCCCCTCCCCAGCCATATGGAATAAAACTCGGTGCAGTGAAGTCGATGCTTTCGACACTTAACACGCAGAGACAATTGCGAATGTCTAATTGTACGAGCCAGCAGACACTACTTCCTGCAGCAAGTTCGTGTCGTTTCGTTTGTAAAGGTTACCTTAAGTCTGGACCGGCATATCAGTTTCTCAGCTGTTATTTTAAAAATACAATGATTAAAAACGCGCACTGATGGTACTAATTATAAGTGCACTGTTATCTCTTAATGCTTTTGTTAAAGTTTAGTTGAATAATAACTCAGATTGTCAGAAAATGAGAAACATTGGCGCACAGTATTTATTGGAGATCCCAGCAGCTTGTTTTATCTTCGCCAAAGGCTCAAAGGGGAGAACGAGAGTTCTTCAAAAGTTGGCGCATTTACATGGAATGTATAACTGTCGACATGCAGTTGGAAATCAAACCTCGGAGTTGAGTTTACGTAGGTTTATTGCTACTACCAGTACATTGGCACATGATGATATTAATTCCAAACGGGAGTGGATAAAGTCAGGCCCCTCGTTATCCAATTTCTTGAACGACACATCATCATCACAATCACACGATGATGTTGATTTGACAACAGAAGATAATTATTTAGGGGCTCATTTGTTTCAAGGACATAGTAAAAGAGGTATGAAAGCAATGTCCTGTTTGTCTTCTCTTACGTTTGTTGTAGTCTAGTTTATCTTATAATGACAGTCACTCAATGTGCAATGTATCTTTTGTTTTGTTTTTCATATTATATTATAATTAAAATGGCGGCACTCTTCCAAATAACGGTCCCAAATTACTTACTGTCCAAAACATCCCTTTTAGAGCCTCAAGAGGTTCAAGGGATTATAAAGAGGTCAAGGGGTTATAAAGAGGTTATACAAAATATGGAACACGATCAACAAAAAATGGAACAATACGTACCAATAATGCCGTGAAATAATTGAGGTCATCATCATCAGTTTCCACATCTGCGCGTTAAGCGCCGTGTTAAGAAATAGTTTTCGATCCACACATGACCATTGACCATTTCGCCGCCGCTATTGCAGCCTAATTGTTAACTACAAGACCAAGCGAAAGGCGCAATCGCAGCCTAGCTGTTAACCACAAGACCGAGCGAAGGGCGCAAATATCGCAGCCTAGTTGTAACCACAACACAACGTGCAAACCACCCTTTTAAAAGCCAAAAAACAAAATTTGCCGCGGCTATCGCAACCTATCTGTTAACCACAAGCTATCGCAACCTAGCTGTTAACCACAATACCGAGCGAAAGGCGCAGATATCACAGCCTGGTTGTAAACCACAACACAACGTGAAAACCACCCTTTTAAAGAAAAAAAATGTTAGCCCGTCGAAGAATCGAACCGTGATCACCTGCTTAACAGGCTGAATGCTTATCAACTGAACTAGCGAAGACTGTAAATTTGTTCAAACAAAATTATATAATAAAAAAAAGCATAATTCGTAGTGTTCCTGTTCCATATTTTTAACTACATGACCTCTCACGTCCCTAACTACGACCTCTTGAGGCCCTGAATGGGATTTTTTGTCTTTGAATAATAAGGGACCGTTATTCGGAAGAGTGCCAAAATGGCTCTCCTCAGAACGGCGTCATAATATTATGGCAGCCATAAAATATCCAAAAATATCAGAACGGGGCTCAGGCATATCTAAAATACGGACTTTCTGCCAAGGAACAAATCGCGGCAAAACTAGGATTACTTGACAATATCAACATTGCACACGGTAGTAGTAGTGACTACGGTGTTTCGGCAATTTGCGGTCTTTTGGTAATTTTCGTTACCCTGTAAACCGTTCGAAACTTGCTTCGCAAATGTCGGCTGGGGTTTCGGGATGGGTCCTAATCTCTCATGAAATTTTGCGATTGGTGTGATTTTCACCCACTATAAACAGCTGAAAACGGCGGGAACGGATCCGATTAACAGCGCATGTCTACGACAGCCGGATGTCCTCTGTTTTTCTGTTACATCAGTTTGATTGAAAATAGCGGTAAGTTTTCAAAGTTGGCTTTAGGCCTTAAACATTACCAGACATGGTAATGCTAGTTATAATTGAATTCTCCGTCCAATTTTACATTTGTGTATACAATTTCTTTCTTATCTGTGGCTGTTTAGATGTACAGTGACATTTTTCAGGCAATCGCTAATATGTGGCTGTGTCTGAGAAAAATTTCTGCCATCTTGTCCAATGAAAACAAAGCCAAAACGAAAGTTGCGCAGTTTGGTTGCGCAGAGAAAACTCGTTTCTCAGACACAAGTTTTAGCAGCTGTTTTTTACATCTCATCTCTACAAAAACCTACATATCACAGCTCAGAAATAACATACAAGGCTAAATGAGGTACCATTGGAAAGAGATTGTTTACAGCTATCTAACTGTGCTGGTTTTATTGGTGTTCAGGGCATTTAAAAAATGTGACTAAAGTAGCTAGTAGTAGCAGATGATAAATACCCACTGTTGACAATTTTGAGCGTTTCTGCAGATGATACTAGCAGACGATATTAGTGACCGTTGACAATGTCGAGACATTACAGATGGTGAAAATGATATGGCGGGTAGACCATGCGCTCCCCCGCAAATTAGTAATACTGTTTGTCCAATTGAGGATTTAGCAGCGGTAGATGTCAGACCTGCCGACCTGTATCCTCACACTTTTGGGCATGTGCAAAATGCGATTAAACTTACCGCCGAGCGTATCTCCTGCGCTACTGGGGGGGGGGGGGGGGGGGGGGGGGGGGGGGGGGGGGGGGGGGGGGGGGGGGGGGGGGGGGCTAAACTAGGTGGCTGGGACTCATGAGCAAATTAGTTGGAGGAAGTTGCAGGAGATGCGGTAGCTGCTGCTGGTGAGTCCCAGCCATCTAGTTTAGTCCCCATCCACGCCCCGCGTGGGGGATATGGTCAGCGGTAAGGCACAGTCACAGAAACAGGTCCTCAAGTAACATATCGCTGAGACCCTGTTAGAGCATTTGTTTTGTTATACGGAGCCGGCATATTTTTAATACAGCTGAGCCCCGTTCGGATATTTTTGGATATTTTATGACCGCCATAATATTATGACGACGTTCGGAGGAGAGCCTTAAAATAAAGGATTCATTTTCATACTTTAGGACATATATTATTATTAGGAATATGGTGCTAGCCCCTGATAATTTTATAGACCAGTCCACTGTCCAGTTACATTTTCAAGATAGACCATTATTGTACCACCTGCCTTTACTTTCCATGATATTTCCTATATCCATGTAATTGTAAGGCTATATGTACTTTAGAGAAAAGGTAACTAAAAAGGAAATATGTTCTGATGAGTACTTAAACCTCTTCCCTCCACCCCTCGCTTTCCCCCTGGGTTGGTTGGCATAATTAATAGCCCTGTCACTATAGCATCTGCAAAACTTTATAGAAACTTCACTGTGAATTTCAAGACAACACAGAAGTAAATCTCTTAGATACTTCAGTGAATTGTAACAGATATGTCATAGAAGGCGACTAACACTAATTAAGGGTATTTTAAGGAGAGCATCTGCCAGAGAGGCAAAGGAACTAAGTTATTCCAGATCTGTTGAATGCATGTGTACACAACATTGGAGTTCTGGAACAAGACTGAAGTCCAAAAGTGGATAAACTCAATTTCTGCTGCAGTTTACAGCTGATGAATGCTGAGAAAAAGAAGATAGGCAAAATAAATACCGATTAAAGATGGACATAATTTTTGCCTAGAAATAAGTTATTTAAGAAGTGTTTAAAATGACATTTACTTTTTGCATTTTAGAACATCCCTTTGGCAACTTTATTTTTTCACGTTTGGAATTACACAGCCTACAAAGAAGAAATTTTCAGATATTTGTTTGCTCCTTTTTTTGGCTTTCTTTTATTTTGGTTTAGTTTGTCTTGTCTTGGTTTGTATTTTTTCTTGAATATTTTTGTTGTTGCTTTTTTATATTTTTGTTGTTGATTGTTTCAATTTGCTGATAATGATATGTTTCCAAAACATACTCAATTCTTTGTGTTCTTGTACTGCTGAGTTAATACTTTTATTGTTTTTTTCTGGCTAGCTCACACGTTGCTGCATTGAACACCACTTCAGTTGTTTATGGATTCAGCTTTAAAAAGTATTGGTACCCACCCCATAGTGTCTATAACAAGGCAGTGGTACTCACCACAAAGTTCCTAAAACAATACGGTGGTGCTTACTACATAGTGTCTAAAGCCTGGCGAAGGTACTCACCACAAAGTTCCTAAAACAATGCGTTGATGCTTGCTACATAGTGTCAAAAGCCTGGCGATGGTACTCACCACAGAGTGTCTATTACAACCGTGCTGAAACCAAATGATGACTACAAAGAGGTGCCAATGAATTTCTGGTCAAAATGGCTGATAGCCAGTTGACGCTCTGAAAAGTTGTTTGTTTTCAGCTATGTTTTGCTGATGTAAATTCCCCATGTCTGGATCAGAAGTCCAAAGGTTCCTCACCCAGCTACTGATTTGAGCACTTGGTGTGACACTGTGAGCTGTTGAGTAATGTGGAACGTTTTCTCTGTTGTACCTACAGCATGCTGTTCATCTTTTTGTTTTTCATTTTCTGTTTTACCACTTCAAGTGTAGAGAGAGATATAATGTTTTTCTGTTTCTTGCTATTCTGACCGCTTCGACCACAGACACATCAAACTGTTATAGAGTTTCTTTGATGTCATCTGTCCACCTTGTTCTTGGTCTGCCTTGTGCTCAATTCAAAATACCCACAAGAACAATAGGTCAGAGTCTATACAGATGGGTCCGCACAAAGTGCAGTTAGAAATGGTGGTGCTGGAGTGTACATAGAATTCCCAGATGGTTCTAGGGATAAGTCTGGCGTACCAACCAGGAAGTACTGTCATTACTATGATGCAGAAACTCAGGCTATCAAGATAGCAACAGAGAAACTGCTAAATGCTAATCTTGGCTCACAGTATGTGGTAATGCTGACAGATGCAAAATCTGTACTTGAAGCACTCCAGTCTAGGAAACTACCAGAATTGCAAGCACTGTTGACACAACTCACCCTTCAGAGAAGAGTCATAATGCAATGGATACCGTCCCATTGTGGAGTGCCTGGAAATAAGAAAGCTGATCAACAGGCAGGAGAAGGTGCGACAAAAGTGCAGCCGTAAATACCAGTCATCAAAAGAAAATGATCATTAAATCGATCAGGAAACCACCAGCCCCAGCACAAGAAGACTATTTTATTATGGACAGATTCGAACAAATCATTATCCTCTGCCTCAGAACAGGGCACAACCGATTATGTAACCACATGTACACAAAATTCAAGATAGGTGTATCAGCCATGTGCACCTGTGGAAAGGTGCCTCTGATAGCAGAGCGTGTACTCCAGGACTGCACCGAATTTGACACATTAAGGCAAACCTTTTGGCCAGAAAGAACAACAGTGGAACATAAACTCTATGGACCACTGAATTTATACAAAAGACAAAATTGCTGATATAGACAGCTTATTTCAGGCGAACAAAAGAAGAAGAAGAAGAAGATATATTTGTATGTAAGTTAGAGTTGACTTTGTGCTGACATGTTCTCTTGTGAGCTCATTCCTGATTTTATCTTTTCTGGTCACTTCTGCTGCCCTTTGACATCCCATTTCCATGTATATTAATTTTATTTTCTGGTTTGTTGTGAGTGACCATGTATGGCACTAGAAGCATAGAGTTGGAATGAATACATTTGGTGTGAGATGTTTCTTTGTGTTGATTGCTTGTGTTGTAAGAGGGGTGCTCATCATCATCATCCCGTAATACTATGTGTCGTCAGGTGGCCTGTTTCTGTTGACTGTCTGATCAGCTCTCTCCACCTTTGGTGGTCAGTTGCAATGGACTTCATGTTTGCATGCCTGAGGCCTGTCCAGTCAGTCAGGTTCTGTAACCAGGTCTCTTGTCCTGTCAGAATCCACTCAGTTAAATATAGGCGTGCCACAGGGGTCGATTTTAGGCCCACTACTATTTTCCACTTATATTAACGACCTTTCATTACATCTTAGTATAACATGCGATTTATTTGCTGACGACTGTACAATATATACTAGTAATGAGAATCGTAATGAGTTAGAAAGATCTTTACAGAAAGAAGTACACAATCTTTGTAAATGGAGCAACAGCAATCACATGCAAATCAACATAAATAAAACGAAGTCTATGCTTATAACAACTAGACAAAAGTTGCAAACATTAGTACTGCACAAGCCGACACTCGAGCTCTACATTGATAAATTACCTATTGTTAATGTAACGGAACAAAAACTTTAGGCCTTACAATTGACAACCATTTAACCTGGAATTCTCATGTTTCTGTCATAACTAAGAAAATAGCACAAAAAGTTTATCAGCTTGCAAATATTCAGCACTTTCTAGACGAAGATGCAAGAAAAGTATTTTACGGGTCTTACATCCAAACACATGTCGACTATTGTTCCACAGTTTGGGATGGTTGCGCCAAATCCAATGTTAAAAGACTAAGTTCTCTTCAAAATCGTGCTTTATGCCTTGTTTCAGATAATAAACATATCGTAAAAAATAATCTCTATAACCATCTAAGACTATTGCCATTTAGCAAACGTTTAATTTTTAACAAGGCCAAATTTATTCATAAAATTTTATCTCAAAATACTCCAAACTACCTTTTCCGTTTAATTAAATCAGATCCTATAAATAGCAAGCGACTAAATTGATTAAATTTACCTAAACCTAGAATAGATTTATATAAAACAAGTTTAGCCTACTCCGCTGCTCATTTGTGGAACCAACTTCCAATAGACCTGAAAAATTCTAAAAGTCCCTATTCATTTAACCGTAAACTTTTTCAATTCATTCTTACAAGCGATTATATGCCATCTTGAATGTAATGTAAACCATATTGCATTATAAATTTATTATTAAACAAGGTGTGTATGATATGTATGTTTGCGCATGCGTGTGTGCGTGATATGTATGTATGTGCAGGCGTGTTTGTATACATATGACTCTAAGTATGTTGTTTGTCTGCGTGTGTGTCTGCGAATGAATGCGTCTGTGTCCTTGTGTATGTGTGCGAATGTGTGTGTGTTCGCGCGTATGTCCACGTGTATGTTTCAGTGTGAATTGGTCTGTGTTTAAGTGTGCCTCTTTGCTGTGTATGTGTGTCTGTGTGTGTCTCTCTGTGTTTGTTTGCATGTGTATGTGTATCAGTGTTATTATTTTTTTTTTTTTTCATATTTGATGTGACTGTGTGTATATCTTCGTTTGTGTCTGTGTGTGTCCCCGTATGTGTTTGTTTTCATGTTTGCCTGTGTATGTTTATGTGTTTTGTCTGCGGGTGTGTCTATGAGGCTGTATGTATGTATCTCTGTGTGTGGGTGTCTGTATGTCTGTCTGCGTGAGTGTATGTATCAGCATGTGTCTGTCTGTCTGTGCATGTCTAAGTGTGTTTCTCTGTGTGTATTGTGTGTGCCCCTTTGTTGTCTGTATGTGTCTGCATGTCAGAGTATATGTCTGTGCGTGCTGAATGTATGTGTCTGCGTGTGTATTTCTATGTGTTTGCATGTGTATGCACTTCTGCGTGTTTGTCTCTGTGGGTGTCAGTATGGATTTGTTTGTCTGTGTGTGTGTGTGTGTTTGACTGCGTGTGTGTCTATGTGGCTGTATGTATGTGTCTGCATGTTTGCGTATGTGTGTGTGTGTGTGGTGTGTGTGTCAGTGTGTGAGCACGAATGTAAATATGTGTGCTGTGTGTTTCCCTGTGTGTGTTTATATGTAAGTGTCTGTGTGTGTGTCTGTATTTTTGTCTGAGTGTGTGTGTCTCTGTGGGAGTGTCCGTGTGTGCATGTGTGTGTCTCCATGCATGACTGTATTTATGACTGTATGTTTGTATGTGTGTATGCCTGTATTATGTATGTATGAATGTATGTATGTATGCCTGTATGTTTGTATCTTTGTAGGTATGTTTGTGTGTATGTATGCCTGTGTGTATGTGTGTATGCATGTTTGTTTGTATGTATGTGTGTATGTATGTATGCCTGTATGTGTGTATGTATGCAATGTATGTATGTGTGTGTAAGTGAGTGGGTGAGCGTGTGTATGTGGGTGTATGTATGCACATGCGGGTTTTTGCATGCACTTTACAACTCATGCTTTTGTGTTCTTTTATAATATTCACAATATGCATATCATCATATGATCATAACATGCTTTATTAGTAAAATACAATTGCTGTGTGAAAGATGGTTGACTGGAAGGGCCGAATGTAAAACGGGCCTGCGTGCCCAATTTGTGACCCTTTGAAAATAAAGTTAGTTCGTTCGTTCCCTTTACTGAGCCCTGCAATATTGTTTTTGAGAGGCCGTTATATCTTATTACTTGTCCATAACATTGCATTTTATTGCCTTGTCACTGTAGTTAAAAGAGGTTCATAGTTGCTAAGAGGGGTGCTAGCTGTTCCAAAACTTGGTTTGCTTTACTGCAGTGTTTATTAATTTCTTCTAATCTTACTTTCTTCAGTGAACGTTCTTCCCGGATATTAAAACTGAGATGTCTATTTAATGTTGTAGACTGCCATAAAATAGCAGGGCCAGTAACTTCTAGAATGATATGAACTTTTGTGGGTGCAATGCTGACTTTCTTATCTGACCGTTTGTGCCAACAGTGACCTGCAGTTTTGGTGTGGGACTGTTGGTGTTAGTACATCTTCTTATTCACGTTCAGCTGTTGTTAACTCCAGTGGAAAGTTCTGGTCATTCATCAACTTTTTTATATGGTCTTGTTTCGGAACTTGAGTTTTGTGTGAACATACGTTTTGCCAGTTTGACTTATGTGTAAGCATACCGTTGGTTCCTCCCCTCTCAGGTAAATGTACTTCAGTTTCAGAATATAAATGCTGTGACATGATACATTGGCATAAGTGTAAGTAGTGTGACTTAATGGGAATCGATCTAAATATTTTGACACATTACATCGGTATATGTGCAAGTGCTGTATAATATTAGTTTTGGTGTAGTCACTGTCACAGATCACATGGGTTTTCATTTGAGTGGTTTGCGGTTTTTTTTTTTTTTTGGGGTATGTGTAAATGTAGGCAGTGTTATGTTTTAGATAAGTTTATGTTAGCAGTGTGACATTTTACGTGGGTGTAAATGTAAACAGTGGGATGTGAAATTAATTTAATCAGTGCTCAGACTGACTGTGGACCACAGGTGAGAATGTTTAGTATTTGCAGTAAACATGTAGAATCAAGTGGAATCAAGTTCAAATGTGATCTGTAGAAGTAGGAAAGTAATGTGTAGAAGTATAAATGTAATGTGTAGATAATGTGTAGAAGTATAAATGTAATGTGTAGATAATGTGTAGAAGTATGAACGTAATGTGTAGAAGTATGAATGTAATGTGTAAGAAGTATGAATGTAATGTGTAGAAGTATGAATGTAATGTGTAGAAGTATGAATGTAATGTGTAGCAATGTAATACTTAGAAGTATGAATGTAATTCTTAGAAGTATGAATGTAATGCGTAGAAGTATGAATTTAATGTGTAGAATATGAATGTTATCCTTAGAAGTATGAATGTAATGCGTAGAAGTATGAATGTAATGTGTAAAATATTAATGTAATACTTAGAAGTGTGAATGTAATGTGTAGAAGTATGAATGTAATGTGTAGCAATGTAATACTTAGAAGTATGAATGTAATCCTTAGAAGTATGAATGTAATGCGTAGAAGTATGAATGTAATGTGTAGAATATTAATGTAAACCTTAGAAGTGTGAATGTAATGTGTAGAAGTGTGAATGTAATGTGTAGACAATGAATGCAATCCTTAGAGGTATGAATGTAATCCTTAGAAGCATGAATGTAATCCTTAGAAGCATGAATGTAATCTGTAAAAGTATGAATGTAGTCTATAGAAGTATGAATGTAATCTTTAAAGAAGGAATGCTATCTGTAGAAGTATAGTGTAATCAATAGAAATATGAATGCGATCTATAAAAATGGGAATTGAATCTATAGAAGTATGAATGTAATTTATAGAAGTTTGAATGTAATCTTTAGATGCTTCAGTGATGTTTATAGAATCATGTAATGTATACAAATATGAACATAATCTCTGGAAGTTCAAATATATTCTGTAGAAGTATAAATGTAATCTGTAGAAAAATGAATGTTATCCGTATAAATATGTGTAATATTAAAATCTAAAATCTCTTTTTTTTCCTTCTGAACAGTTTACATTGAGACATATGGGTGTCAGATGAATGTTAATGATACAGAAATTGCCTGGAGTATTTTACTGCAGAATGGCTTTGAAAAAGCTGTTGGCACACAAGAGGTAATATTTTCTAAAACATATTCATGTTTACTATTCATCAGTATCATCACCATCATCATCAGCAGCATGACTGTAATCTATAGAATGTGGAGTAAAGAAGTATGAATGTATTCAGCATTTGGGGGTGTCCATTTCAAAGTGGTCAAGCCGATTGCTTGTCGCTCGAAAGGTCATGGGTTATTTTCACGAATTACGACCTTCATTTCATGGGTGCAGTTTTTATGGAGATTCTTAGGGACTTTCGCCGGAGCTGTGGAATGTATGCTTTGTGTGATGCTCTCGGCATCCAGCTAGCCTTTCTGTGGAGAGAGACCAAGCCACAAGTGATAAAGCCTAGTGCAGTGAAGTCGATCTTTTCACCTCTAACCTTTTAATCATCAGGAGCATTATCATTGGATAGCAAGTCCTTCACATAAAATCACTCCTTCATTGGCCAGCCAAAAAAGAAGATTTTGAGTCACTGGCCAATTCTGCAGCCTCAAGTCTAGTATTCTTTTTTATTCTACACTTTATTCTTCAGTGAAGTCCTCAAGAAGTAAGAAGAATCCTCTAGAACTGTGTTTCCAAAACTTTTCTGAGTCGCAGCACCTTTTTTCAATTAAATATTTTCCACAGTGCCCTATTTTAAGTAAAAGTATGACTATTCATATGTAAGAGATAAAAAAAATAAAACTTGCATAACTTCGAATTTTTCGTGGCACCCCTGTGAAGAGGTCGAGGACTCCCGGGGTGCTGCGGGGCACAGTTTGAGAATCACTGCTCTAGAACACTGTTTTGCCAAACTTTTTAAAATCCGCAGACTGATAGAATAGTAGAACTCTTTTTGCAGACCAGCTGACAGCTAAGCTCAAACAAAAGCAAATGTAGATTTGAAAGAATTTATGGTCTCTTGCTTGAGTTCAAATAATGCGTTTATTACTGAAAGAGTTGTTCAAATAATGCTTTTATTACTGAAAGAGTTAAGAGTTAGTCATTCCAACCATTAGTGAATGTTTTTATAATGGCTGATTACCGCTTTCGTCGTGAGCTGCCTCCAAAACTGTTCTACTTTGCAGGCAGATGTGGTATTGCTGATGACCTGTTCTATACGGGAAGGTGCAGAAGGCAAGATTTGGGAGCGGGTGCATCAGCTGGCCAGTATCAAGAAACGACGAGGCAGAAGGCAGCCACTGAAGATTGGGATTCTTGGTAGAGTTTGTTCATTATCATCATCTTCTTGTGTTGTTTTATCATGCGTAGTTAAGCTTGTTGCTTTCTCTATAAATTTTGAATTCTTGAGACAGTTTGTTCAGATTATGAAATCTTGGTAAAGTTCATTGCATTGTTTATAATGTTGAATTCTTGGGTCAGTTAATTGCATAATTTTTTATTTTGTTGCACTATTTATAATATTGAATTATTACAGGCTGTATCTGTGTCAATAATCTGCAATTCTTGATACAGATATCAGTATTTATAATTTTGAATTCTTGGTAATGTTTGTGTCATTATTTTTGTGTGTTCAGTGTTGGAACAGTGTTTATAATGTTGAAGTTATGAATCAGTTTGTATTGCTGTTTATAACCCTGAATTTTTTGCAGCCATATGTAAACGTGTATTATGTATAGTGTGTATCCCTGTTTGTCATATAGAATTCTTTGCAGTCTGTGTCTCTTTTAAAATGTTGAGTTCTTGGTATAGGCAGCATTAAGCATACTAAGGAATACAGATTAAAAGAGGTCAAACCAAACATGGGCGCTATGAACTGGACCAACAAAGAATGGAACAGCAACACAGAACTGGTGTTCTTTTTTTCTTTGCATTCACCGTCTGTAATCTATGGCGGAAAGTTTTGGTTGTTCATCCACTTCTGGACTTAAGCCTTCTCCCAGACCTTGAGTTTTGCATGCACATTTCTTGGACAGGTCTGGCTTATCTGTATACAGATTGTTGGTTCCTTGCCTCTTAGGCAGATGCACTCAGACTTCAAAGGAAACCTCTAATTAGTTGACTCTTACTACATCCTTGTTAGGGAGGCAGTGGCAACTCTGCTCCCCTCCCGCGACCCTCCCACAGTGAGGCCTCAGGACACACACAGAGAAGAGCTGGTGGTATAAGTCACCCTATGCTGAGAGGCGGGAGCCTGAAGACAACTTATCACAGACATCAGAAGGAGACAGTCATCATTTTCGGCCATGTTATGAGAAGAGGGAAAATAGAACATGTTGTGACCACTGGAAAGATCTGTGGAAGGAGGGATAGAGGAAGACAACGAGAGAAGATACTTGACAGTCTTGTTGCATGGCATAGAGGTGTGTCGGCACACGAACTGGTACGTGCTGCAGGAGATCGCAGATTATGGAGAGGCATGATCACCCACACCAGTCGACAAGGCACCTGATGATGATGATGCTGAGAGATAACTGTGGAAGCAATTAAAAGCACATATGAACTGAATGATTCAGTTTGCAGTTGGGATGACTTGTCCACTATTTTTGAGCAATGCAAGAGATGATTTTTATCTGAAAATATGCATTCATTAGAGAAGAACAACACCTATGTTTCTCAGAACTAAGAGGAGAAAAATACTATATATAGAAAGAAAGAAAGAGGGAAAAAGAGGTGCGTGCTTGCACACCTGCAAGACAAAGGAAATATTTAGTAGCGTATCAATCTTCTTCTTTGTTCTCTTCATAAATCAGGTTGTATGGCAGAGCGTCTGAAGCATAAAATTGTTGAGAAAGAGAAGACGGTGGATATTGTATGTGGACCGGATGCTTACAGAGATCTTCCACGTCTTCTAGCAGTTGCTTCTGCCACAGCTGAAGCTGCAGGTATCGTTCTCACTGACTTGATGGCATCTTTGTGAAAACCAGTTGTCATAACCTCCATTTGTTCACTGTCTTGTTTTCAATTAACCCACCAGTTAGCATATTTCAGTGTTAATCTTCTCATGATGTGGCCATTAAATGTCTTCTCCACATTCACTGGCTGTAAACTCTGGAGGAAGATTCTGGTTGTTTGTCCACTTCTGGACTCTAGTCCTGTTCCAGAAACTGCGTGCTCACCAGTTTCACAAATCTGACTCATTTGCATGCAGACTGTTGGTTCCTTGCCTCTTAGGCAGATGTACTCTGACTTTGAAGGATGCTCCCAATTAGTTGACTCTCACGACATGCTTTTAGTTAGGCAGTGGGTCTATTCTTGTTTTCCTCACAAATATGACCTGTTTCTTTTTAATGCGTTTAATGATCTTCCTTTACATCTGGGCTTTTTGAGCGTGTACTGCCGTAATCGAATGAGATGAATTCAAGGACAGAATTAGGAAGAGAAACATTAGAACAACTGCTGGTGGCAACAGCTATCAAGAAAGACAGAATGAAGAGAAATGTTTGAACAACCACTGGTAGCAGCAGTTATGAGACAAAGAAGATAATATATTGTGCATATTCTGAGGAAAATCAGACAAAAGAGGATAATGATACTGTTGTAAAATTGTAATTAATCCCATAAAAACATTCATTTTTTTATATTTTGACAGGTTCACCCCTAATGTTCATTCACTTTCTTATCATTAATTCATCACCTTCTTCTTCCACCCCACAGGAGCATGGGGTCTCTCTTCCTTACCTTTTGATTCATACTGCTCTGCATTAGTGATTTAATGAGGCCGCTTAATTCCTTCTGTTCTGTATGGGCATCTATTAATAAATGGTTGTAGTTTATTATTAATTAATTCTCTTTATTTCTGCTTCATTTAGCAGTATTGGTTTGACGTTGGAGTTAAATAGGATAAGTTTAATACTAATTTTAATTTATATGCAAGAAATTTTTTTTTTCCAACTTTTGCAGATCGCCATGAAAAACTCCTATTACCTTTTGTATTCTCATAATTTATTATAGCTGTATATTTTCTCCCATCTTTATCATCGCTGCTGACTTAATGTGTCCATGACTCTGCCTCTTAGAATGGGGATTCACATATGAATTTGAATCATCTACTTTTTTTCTACCCACTGTTCCCAAGTGGAGCGTACATGTGCCAAATTTACCTTACCCTTTCCCAGTGCTGGCATCTAACCCTGTCCAGCTGCAGAATAGGAGTGGAATTTCAACTGTGAGATAGCATCTAAAGCGGAAATTAGACAAGTTATCAGTTTAAAAAAAAACATTTATGTAACAGAGAAGCTGCTGGTTCAGATGATATCCCAGCAGAAGCCATTAAGGCCAATATCAAACAGATCTTTAGAATTGCTACCTGTCACATGATTAGCATTCTTAAAACAACTCATTGACAATAACTGTTTTCTTTTCTATTGACAGTCTATGATAATTTTCATGTTAATTATCTTCTCATCTCTTTCAGTCAATGTCCAGTTGTCTGTGGAAGAGACTTATGCAGATGTGGTACCTGTCAGAATAAACCCTGATAGTCCTTCAGCATTTGTGTAAGAAAAATGCCAGTTTTGTGTGTGTTTTGCTTCTAGTTGACTTTGTCATCATCACCATCATATGCCTTACCAAATGGCATAAATATTCACATATCATCTGACATCTTGATGTGTTTTGTTCTGGGTTAGTCCAGTTGATAAAATTTCTCCAAGCTCTCATCTTAGACCAGAGCTGCTTAACTGGCAACCCGCGGGCCAAATCTGGCCTGCAGAGACCTAGCAAGTGGCCCCAGATCATTGCCAATTGTATTGTAATGATGATCATTCTGGTTTGGGGCTTAGGCCCCTGGGCTATTTTCAAAATGTTGGCTCCTGAGTAAACTTAGCTGTATAGCGCTGTTTTGGACCGTCCAGCACCTTATCTTATGGTCTGCCTTGGCCTCTTTTGTCTGATCTTTTCCAGCTGTTTTGATGTTCTTCTTATCACATGATGGAGGGCAGTTGTCTCTTTCTATTAGTATACTTTTTTTCTAGCTGTTTCCAGGAAATTGTGAGTTACTCTTTCCTATCAGTTTAATTAAACATATTCATTTCAGAAACCAAATCTCAACAGCCTTCAGATCTTAATTTGTTGCAAATCCTGTTTTTTGTGTGTGTGGCTGTATTGTATTGGTAAGAACAGTGTCCATTAAATTACTATTAAACACTGAACCTGAAACCACTGTAATGGTAAGCAAACATACCAAACGTTGAGCCACGAATTAGTTTCCTGTTGTTCCTTTCCTCTTTACTCTAAAACGTGATATGAAATAATACCACTTCTCTTATTATATTGCTTTCTTAACAATTTAAATAATGTGGACACGGACAATACATTGCACAGTTTATTGCCTGGAATATTTCGCTGTTTCATGTCAGGTGCATTTCTAACTGTTAATCAACATTTAGTAAAGCAAAAAAAAAAATTTATCTTTTTCTCTGAATCAAGCAAATCACATTGTCTATTTACAGCGTGCATCTCTTCACCAGATTTTCAAGGTTAACTGGTTTTAATTAAAATTAGCATGATCTGTTTCCAAGGAAATGTTTTCTAACCTTTTCTACTAAATATATCGCTGCAGTGGTCTACTTCTAGCTGTTTCTTCTTTATCTACATGTCATTACTATGGTAAAACCTTGTTAACAGTAATTGCAAGCTACTGAAAAATCAAGAGTTTGTTTAAAAAAAAAAAAACAATTGTATGCTAACCAGTGTCTAATAGATGTACTATGAACAATTCAGCCATTTCTTCTTCTTCTTCTCTTCCACCATTTACGTCAGCGAGGTGTTGAGGGGAGATGTAAGGATCGTTTATACACTTTTTCCATTGCATTGTACAAGTTTTTTTTTTCTGTTAGGTTGCTCCTGATAGTGTTGCTCCATCTCTTGTGTGGTCTTCCCCTTGCTCTGTGTTCATTATATTTCTCCAGGGTGGCTCTCTGTGGCAGTTGGTACCAGGGCATTCTTATAAGGTGGCCAAACCATCTCATTTGTTGTTCTTTAATGAATTGTATCACTGTTTTCAGTCCTAGTTCATTCATGCTGGTACCAGAATTGTATTTATATTAACTAAGTGTTTGTCTTATGCAGGTTCATGTTATCAGGGTTTTACTGTATTTGCTTATGATTCAACTAACAGCAGTAAGGAGAAATTTCAATTCAGTTTTTGTAAAGAACAGTAACACCGTACCCTACTATGTTTCTTCATCTATATTCGCCCTTAAATGGATAGTTGGCACATTTTGTTGTGGTTTCCAGCTAGGCTGATACTTTTTTTAATGACATCTAGGGAGGAACTGGCTACCTTATTCAGTAGAGACCTTCATCTGCAAAATTTAACCAGTTATGAACATGCCTGCCAAGGACTGTGCATGATTTAGCTTAGGTCATACGTTGCATTGGGAGCTGTCTTGGTGTAGTGGCTAAACGCTTGCCTGCAAAACCCGAGGTCGGGGGTTCAGGCCCTGACGGAATCAGATTTGTACAGAAACGACCTTGGATTCTAGGTGGACCCAGCTTTCAGTGGGTACCAGATAAAGTGCTGGGAAATAAAGGCCACTGATGTGATGTTGACCACATAAACTCACAGTTCCAGCTGATCTATAAAATATAGATCTAGCCCTATATGCCCATCATTCCTGAAGGTGTGGAAAAGGGTCCTTTTTTTTAAAAACTCACTTTGTTATGTTACTGCCTGTATTTACCACTTTTGCAGGGTAGGCAGAAAAGTCTTTGAACCTGAGGCTTTAGGGTCACTTAGCTAGTGCAGTTGCCACTGACTGTGCAAGTTAGAATTTTATTTGTTCCTCCAACATAAAAAATATCTTTGCGGAGGTTTTGAACCTGGGTCTCCTGTGTGGGAGCCCAATGTTCTTTACCATTAAGCCTATTTGGTAGCTTGAGTGGACTGCAATACCAGCATATTGTATTTGTTTGGACAGGTCAATCATGCGAGGCTGTGACAACATGTGCACATACTGTATTGTTCCATTTACTCGTGGGAGAGAGAGAAGTCGACCCATGTCCTCCATCGTAGAGGAGATTAAGTCACTTTCTGAACAGGTAACTGAAGCAATGTCTTATATGTTTGGGAATTGAGTCTTTGATGGGGGTGGAGCACCCATAAAAATGTCCTGATTGCTGTGATGTTGGTTTTCAATTCCTTTCATTTGTTTGGGCAGTCCTGAAAGTGCAGTGACCAGATTCCTTGCATGGTAATTCAGGCAGATTCTTAAACAGAAAGTGACTTGAGACTCAATTTCCTGTGTAGCCTAACCTGGAGCGAGTTCTTGGAAATGTCCTGGGAAGTAAAGCTGGCTGATATGATAAAGATCATTCATTCACAGAGTGAAGTAGATATCAGACCTTTGCTTGACTCACCTAATACAGACACACATACATTGACACAGTCACATTTTTTTGAAAGACAAAAGAGTATGAGACACAAAGACTGGTAACAAACATCAGAAAGACCAGTCAGCTGGGCCACTTAATGAAAAGAGGAAAAACTGGAGTGTGGTGACCGCTGAACATATTTGTGGAAAGTGAAAGCCAGAGGAAGGCAGTGAGAAGACTTTTGACAGCACGGAAGATATCTGATCTCATCGTGTAATGAATCCACTAGCGACACTGGCTAGGCACTTGAAAATCTTGAGTTCAAACCTGTATTGAATCAGACTATTATAAAATGACCCTGGCTGTGGGTCAACCAAACCTAATTTAGTTGCTGTAGTGTCCTGAGAAGTGAGAATGGCTGGCATGATGTGGACCATATCCATTGAATGCCAGATGGTCTCTACAAATATGGATCCATCACCATATGCATGATGCACCAATGTCTTGAAGTGTTTTCTTAACCTTTTGCTCTTCTGTGTTCATCCTAAAAATGTCAATTGGCACATTATGTTGCGGTTGACAGCTGTGCAGATTATGTGCTCCTTTTGACCCAACATATCAGATTTCAGCGAACCTTAAATTATTTGCCTTTGATGACATGCTTGTTAATGGGTAGTAGGAGTCTGTCCTCCACCTCTCTCTCTCTCTCTCTCTCTCTCTCTCTCTCTCTCTCTCTCTCTCTCTCTCTCTCTCTCTCTCTCTCTCTCTCGCTGTCTCTCTCTTTCTCTCATCAAACGGGGCACTAGAACCCTCAAAGGAAAATTTGTTTTTCAAATTCACTTTTACCTAGTTCCCCATGTAGGTTGCAGGGCTCTATTGGCAAAAGTGGGTGGGGGTGGGGGGGGGGAATAGAACCACTGCCCCCCCAACAAGTATATTGAAGGAGGCAACTAATTTTTTCCCTTCAAAGTCAGTGTATCTACCTTAGAGTAAACAGTTTGCATGTAAACAAGGCAGATCTGTGAGGTGGATATGCATGCAAAACTCATATTCTGGAACAAGACTAAATTCCAAACGGGGATGAACAACCAGAACTTTCTGCCAGAGTTTAGCGCCGGTGAATGCTAAGAAGAAGAAGAATTACTTAATCCAGTTGTTATTTGTTGTTGTCAACTTTTCCTTTGAAGGGAGTGAAAGATGTCACACTTCTGGGTCAGAATGTCAACAGTTACAGAGATTTATCTTCTCAAGACAGTCTTGAAGAGGACAGAAACTCCTCATCTCAACTCAGTGCAGGTAAAACACTCATGACTTAATTCTCCTCCGAGAACAGAAATAACATTGTATTTATAAGGTGTAGATTCAGTGATGTGTTAGTTCAGGGGTGTGAACTCTCTTTGTAAGCCAAAGGCCATTCTAAGATTTATAGTCATTTGGAAACCATACAGAATTTATCAGCATCAGGTGCCTAGCTGACTAGCGACTGCCTAGCTGACTGGGCGATCATGCCTGTCTACAACCTGGGATCTCCAACAGCGTGTATCAGTTCAAATGCTGACACCTCTCCATGCCATGACAAAAAAGGTTGTTAAGATGCTTCTCACATCCTGTTCCTCTATCTCTTTTTTTTCTCTCCACAAATCTGTCTAATGCTCACATGTTCCAGTTTCCCTCTTATCATAATGTGGCCTAAGAATGTAATGCTGCCTACTTCTGATGTGTGTGATAAGTTTTCTTTGGGCCCCTGACCTCTCTCAAGACAACTATGTTACTCATGCAAAATTATCAGCTTAGAAATTAGCGTGCTTTATTTGGTCAAACATTTAATTGCTAGGGCCAGACCAAATACATGTGTGCATGCGGTTTACCCCCTCTGGGCTGCTACCTGAAAAGTTTTACACTGTGAGATCATAAAGAGCCTGAGATCATAAAGGTTTCACATCCTCAGGTTAAAGATCTCATTGCTGGTTGCATGACCATCAGAGCAAACACAGATACCCTGTTGAACCTCCAAGGAATTATAATTATGGCACCTATTATGGCGGCACCAGCCCAGTGTTTCCTGCAGTCCTGTGCAGGTAAGGATGATTGCAGATCACATGATTTCATGGCCTGCCGGCAGATGTTTACCACTCCTGCATTGAATCCTTTTTTTCTATGACTTAGAGGTCACTGAACATGTTTGACGATTGTCAACATGCTAGGTATGGATTTCCTTGGCCAACAGTTTAGAAAAAGATCTTATGGCTCACAGTGGTATGAGAATCACATTGTGGATGATATTGGAACTTCACCATGCAATACTCCCAAAGGCAGCATTGGGTGCTTATACTCCCTGCAGGTAACCTCCATTGCAGAGACATCATTTTGTATTGGTTCACTCAGTTAGAATGCTTCCATGTTGCTGTTGCATGAAGCTATTTTTAACACATGGCTGAGTCTTGGACAGTGGATGATCATGCTTCTCTACATCCTGCACTCCCCAACTACACATGTGCGTTTCTATATGCTGACATTTGTCCATGCTTTCATAAAAGACTGTCGTGAATGTTCTTTCTCCATGTCTTCCTTTTATAAACCAAAGATTACATGCCTTGTGCTGTTAAATACAAGCTTCAAAACTAGTAAAGAACAGGAAACCTTATCTAACTCTTCACTGCAATGCTCTACGACTCAAAAATTAGGAGACAAAAAAATAGATCAGGTTTCAGCACTGTTCTGAAACCAAAGATTAGATGGTATTTTGTTGTTGATCAGGTTTCAGCACCATTTTTAAACCAAAAAATTACATATTTTGTTTTTGACCAGGTTTCAGCACCGTTTATAAACCAAAGACTGGTGGTCACAGGTTTGCCAGGCTGCTGGAGGAAGTAGCTCAGGTGGACCCGGAGATGAGGATTAGGTTCACATCACCACACCCAAAAGATTTTCCTGACCAGGTACGATAGGCACTCTGTAACACATTGTATTGGCTAATATTTATTTCAACTACCTTAGTGTTGTCCAGTCTGAGCAGGTGGTGAATTGGGCGTGAGAGCAGCCGACAGATAGTTGTTGGTTGCGGTCTAAACATGCCTGACGGTAAGCAGAGAATTACACTATAGTGAGAGTGTCTATGGTAACTCAACCAATATGTTCACTGCCAAGAAAGGAAGCAGTAGCAAGCAACCTTGTTCAGGATTCCAAGAAAAGCCATAACAGAGCAAGGGAAAAGCAAAGAGATAAATACCTGGATGGCTTAGTCGTATGGAATTGCTGAGACAAGAATAATATGATCAATGATTACGCTTATTATGTGAGATGGCGAAACATGACAGCCTATGCTCATCGACATGGCACTTGATAATGATCATACTAGGGTTATCCAATCTTGATAATTGTTATCACACTGTATAATTTCATGTAATGTACATACAATTATTCCAACGTTGAAATCTACTCAGATTTGATCCTCTATCTACTTTAACGTCATCCAGTCTTGATATCTATTGAAGGTTAATCCTGTCTTGCTTTAACATGATCCAGTTATGATGTCTACTGAAAATTCACCAAGATACTTAACCTGTATCCAGGTTTTATTTCTCCTTGAGCTTTATCCAGATTTGATATCTATTCAGTCTTAATCCAGTTTTGATAACTTCATTCATTCTTGAATCCAGCCTTGATATCTTCTTGAACTTTATATCCAGTTCTGATGTCAGGTGCCCCTTTATCCAGTCTTCTTAAATGTTTAGACTTTATCCAGTCTTCTTATCTGTTTAGACTTTATCCAGAAAGATTTTTTTTCACCTGAATACTGTTTCTCCATTGATGAGGTCCTGGAAGTTATCCTCAACCACCCAAACATCTGCAAGCATATCCACCTGCCAGCACAGAGCGGCAACTCAGAGGTTCTGGCAGCCATGGGTAGAGGTTACACCAGGGAGACATATCTGCAGCTGGTTGAGCATGTCAGAGAGATCATGCCAGGTGAGTTTTGAATGTGTTTGTGTGAGATTGAGAGTAAATGTGTTTGAGTGAGTGTGAATGTATATTTGAGTGAGATAAAAAGCCTACAACAATAGCAATAATCTTCTCAAGCACCCTGCCAAAAGTGTTTTGAAGAGTGATAATCCTGAAACCGCCGAGCTGTGAATAATCTTTGCCTGGTTTTGGAAGAGGTATTAAATATCTGTGCACCCATTCCTCCACTGGATTTTGTACTTGAGTGAAGTGAATGAGCATGTTTAAGTGAGAGAGAGAGAGGGAGAAAGAAAGAGAGAGAGAGTGAATTCCTGATTGAGTGAGTCTATGAGACAGAGTTTGAATGTATTTTTGAATAATCAAACAGCACTTCTATCACATAAACATGAACATAAACAAGAAAAAAGTACTATTGGATTTTGTACTTAAGTGAAGTGAATGAGCATGTTTAAGTGAGAGAGAGAGAGAGGGAGAAAGAAAGAGAGAGAGAGAGAGAGTGAATTCCTGATTGAGTGAGTCTATGAGACAGAGTTTGAATGTATTTTTGAATAATCAAACAGCACTTCTATCACATAAACATGAACATAAACAAGAAAAAAGTAACAGACTACACAGCACAGCAGAAAAGGTGGGACTGAGAATAAATACAAAGAAAACTAAGATCATGACAAGCAGTCCAAACCAACAACCAGTGACCATAAATAACCAAACTCTTGAAAATGTAGAACATTTCACACATCTTGGCAGTGTGGTGCCCCTACTGGGAGGGACAGAGGAAGACATACAGTCACGTCTGAACAAAGCTAGAGCTGCTTTTGGAGGGATGAGGCAAATCTGGAAATCCATCAATTACTGCAGAGGAACGAAACTCCGACTCTACAAGAGCATCATTTTGCCAGTTCTTCTCTATGGAGCGGAATGCTGGAGAATGACCAAAAAGGATGCACATGAGCTGTCCACCTTCCACCACACATGTCTACGTAGAATTATCAAAATTTTCTGGCCAGATACAATCTCAAACACTAAACTACTTCAAGTCACAAACCAAGAAACTTTAGACAGTATGATAATCAAGAGAAGCTGGAAATGGCTTGGCCACGTTATGAGAATGAATCCTGATATACCCGCCAAAACAAATCTCACATGGACACCAGAGGGAAAGAGAAAACAGGGGCGCCCAACAACAACATGGAGACAAATGATGGAAAGTGACCTGAGTGCGGCATCTTTGACATGGAAAACTGCACTGAAGATTGCACAGGACCGGAAAGCATGGAAAGTCCTCTCTGAAGCCTCCTGTGCCACTAGGCATAACGAGAACTGATGATTTGAATAATGGGTGTGAGATTTGAGTGTTTAATGATTTAAAGTGTGTAAATAAATCTGGAAGTATGTATATTTGAGAGAGGGCTTACTGTGTAGTGAGTTTCAGTGTGCAGGTATTAGTTTGTGTGAGAGAGATATTCAGCTTGTGGATGTGTGTTTGAACATAATTGTTTTGTAGAAGTTTGTTGTTGTTGTTGTTAAGTGAATGGGGGTGAAATAAAGAAAATTAGGATTGATACGCAACAAACAAAAACCCACACAAATTAAGAGCCGTTTCCACAGTAAAAGTTGGCTACAGTTACCCATTGCTGTCTGTGGGTAAACAAATATTCCATGCACAGTTTTGTCAGCAAATAATTATGAGGCTAGGACAACATGCCAGAAACAAATATTCCATGCACAGTTTTGTCAGCAAATAATTATGAGGCTAGGACAACATGCCAGAAACAAATATTCCATGCACAGTTTTGTCAGCAAATAATTATGAGGCTAGAACAACATGCCAGAAACAAATATTCCATGCACAGTTTTGTCAGCAAATAATTATGAGGCTAGGACAACATGCCAGAAACAAATATTCCATGCACAGTTTTGTCAGCAAATAATTTTGAGGCTAGAACAACATGCCAGAAACAAATATTCCATGCACAGTTTTGTCAGCAAATAATTATGAGGCTAGAACAACATGCCAGAAACAAATATTCCATGCACAGTTTTGTCAGCAAATAATTATGAGGCTAGGACAACATGCCAGAAACAAATATTCCATGCACAGTTTTGTCAGCAAATAATTATGAGGCTAGAACAACATGCCAGAAACAAATATTCCATGCACAGTTTTGTCAGCAAATAATTATGAGGCTAGAACAACATGCCAGAAACAAATATTCCATGCACAGTTTTGTCAGCAAATAATTTTGAGGCTAGAACAACATGCCAGAAACAAATATTCCATGCACAGTTTTGTCAGCAAATAATTATGAGGCTAGGACAACATGTCAGAAACAAATATTCCATGCACAGTTTTGTCAGCAAATAATTATGAGGCTAGGACAACATGCCAGAAACAAATATTCCATAGACAGTTTTGTCAGCAAATAATTATGAGGCTAGGACAACATGCCAGAAACAAATATTCCATAGACAGTTTTGTCAGCAAATAATTATGAGGCTAGGACAACATGCCAGAAACAAATATTCCATAGACAGTTTTGTCAGCAAATAATTATGAGGCTAGGACAACATGCCAGAAACAAATATTCCATAGACAGTTTTGTCAGCAAATAATTATGAGGCTAGGACAACATGCCAGAAACAAATATTCCATAGACAGTTTTGTCAGCAAATAATTATGAGGCTAGGACAACATGCCAGAAACAAATATTCCATAGACAGTTTTGTCAGCAAATAATTATGAGGCTAGAACAACATGCCAGAAACAAATATTCCATAGACAGTTTTGTCAGCAAATAATTATGAGGCTAGAACAACATGCCAGAAACAAATATTCCATAGACAGTTTTGTCAGCAAATAATTATGAGGCTAGAACAACATGCCAGAAACAAATATTCCATAGACAGTTTTGTCAGCAAATAATTATGAGGCTAGAACAACATGCCAGAAACAAATATTCCATAGACAGTTTTGTCAGCAAATAATTTTGAGGCTAGGACAACATGCCAGAAACAAATATTCCATAGACAGTTTTGTCAGCAAATAATTATAAGGCTAGGACAACAAGCCAGATACACTCCAAGATTTTGGAAAAGTTTATCATCATCATGTTGTGCTGTTATATGTCACATAGGGCTGACATTCTTTACTTCTGTTCTGTCCTGTACAAGTGTTTCAATATCATGGATGCGATGTCCATCCCCCTCCCTTCTTCTCATTGTTTCCTATTAACCTACTTGTTTGATGATTCTCTGTTAGCTTCTCCTCAGGATATGTCAGTATATCACCATCTTCTTTTTTTAAATAACTTGATACCAATGGTTGTCCATACATTTCTCTTGTTTTTCACCGGATTCCTCCTATTTATTGTTTCGTTAATTTCTGTAGGCTTTTTTTCTTTCAAATGCGTTTAATTTGTGTTCTGTGTCTTTAGAGTGCTTTACTTTGTCTTTATTGTAGGGGTTGCACTGTCCAGCGACTTCATTGCTGGCTTTTGTGGAGAGACTGAACCAGCTCACCAGGATACTCTCTCTCTGATGGATACTGTCAAGTACAACTTTGTTTACTGTTTTCCTTACAGTATGAGACAGGTGAGTGGATATCTTAGTTGCTTCGAAAAGCTACAACACTGACACTTCTGGTTGAGTAACATAATATTGTTCTGGTCCATAAATAGAATTGTTAAAGATTTATGTGATCTGTGATCTGTGAAAGGGTTGTTTTTTTAGTATTTTCTCAGGAATTCCAGAAATACGGGTCGTTGTTGAGTTTTTTGTTTCTAAGTTACTCCTTCTTCTTCTTCACTTCCTCTTTTACCGCTGTGGGTGTCGAGGGAGATATAAGGTTCTGTTTCTAGCTCCTCTGGCCGCCTCGACCATAGGCACATCGTGCTGTTGTAGAGTTTCTCTGATGTTATCCTTCCATCTTGTTCTTGGTCTACCTCGTGCTCTGCGTCCTTCTCTTTCCATGTATGCTTTGTATGGTATGGTGTCACAAGGCATTTTCTCTAAGTGGGCAAACCATTTCACTTGCTGTCTTCGTATGTAATCCAGAATTGGTTCTATGCCGACTTTTTCTTTTATGATCTCATTCCTGATCTTATCTCTAATGGTCACTCCTACAGCCCTTCTCAGACATCTCATTTCCGTGGTTACTAATTTTCTTTTATGGTTTGTTGTGAGTGACCATGTCTAGCACTGGTAGCACAGAGTTGGAATAAATATGCTTTGAATAAGATGTCTCTTTGTGCTGATTGGGATTGTCTTATGCTGTAAGAGGGGGGCTAGCTGTGCCAATACTTGGTTTGCTTTACTGCATCTAATGTTAATTTCTTTATCCAATTTCCCATCTTCGGTAAATGTAGTTCCCAGATATTTAAACTCAGATGCCTGTTTAATGCCTTTGCACTCTATTGCTATGTTTCTAACGTCAGACTGTTTGTGTTAGCACTTCGGATGGCTACCATATGCTTTTACTGCGAGTGTATGCTAGATTTGCTGAGACAGCAGTTTGTCAGTCTTTCCACAAGGGACTGTGATAAACAATCTGTATGTTTTTCGTTGGCACAGGAGCGGAGCAAAGATGGGGTGACCCGTTTGCTATGAAGCTGAAATTAAAATTACCAGATTGCTATGTTTAGATCTGTCTTCTTTTTTTCCTATTGACATTACTTCTGTCTTTTCAGTGTTGGTTCTCATATTATTTGTTTTACATTCTTCATTCATGGATGTTAAATGTTGTTGGAATTTCATGGCTGTATCTGCTATCAAGGCCTGATCATTTACAAAGAGTAATTCTTTGATCTTACTAACATTTTCATTCATGGGCTTGACATTCTTGCATATAGTAGGTGATAAACAGCAGTGTTGATAAGACACACCCCTGTCTTACTCCAGATGTTACTGTGAATGGATGAGATGTTCCCTGATTTATTCTAAATACACTTCTACAATCCCTGTATAAACTTTTGCACACTTCGATGAGGTGTTCGCTTACTCCATATCTTGCCATTACTTTCCATAATAATTGTCTGTCGACTCTGTCAAATGCCTTATCCTGGTCTACGAATGCCACAAATAAGTTCTTATTGTATTCAATGTTCTTTTCAATTAACTGTTTAAGTGTGAAGATTGCATCTATTTCTCCTAAATCCCATCTGTTCTTCTGCCAGCTGTGGTTCTATCACTGGTCTGTCTTGTTTCTATTATCTTGGCATACATTTTGCCAACATGGCTTAAAAGAGAGATGCCTCGGTATTGACCACATTCTCGTTTGCTTCCTTTGTTCTTCCACAATGGTATAACTATTGCATGTTGCCAATCAATAGGGGCAGTTTGTTGTACCCATGCTGCATTAAATATTCTGTTAAGCCATCTGATGCTGCTTTCACCTGCTGTTTGAATTATTTCTGTTGGTAATCTATCAGCTCCTGATGCTTTATATTTGGGAGATTGCTTAATGACTTTTTCTATTTCATCCATTAGTATATGTGGTTCTAACACTGTTGCTCTGTGCTCTTCAGTTGTTCTTTCCTGATGATCTCCTAGAGGATTAAAGAGCTCATTGAAGTATTCCCTGCATCTTTCTGCTATCTCAGGTGGATCTATCAATGGCCTTCCTGTCTTATCATTAATTATTTCAGTGGGGTTGTAGCTCTCATCTCTTTTCCGCATATTTTTAACTACTTTGAAAAATTTTCTGCTGGCTGTTTTCTCATTTTCTGCTAATGACTCACCGAAACGTTCCCAGGATGCTTGTTTTGCTTTCTTGACACGCCTGTTGGTTTCTCTCCTTTGCAGTCTATAGTTTATATAATCTTCTTCTTTCTTTGATTTTATCCACTGTTTATATAATCCTTTTTCTTTTTAATTACGTCTTTTACTCCTTCGCACCACCAAGGTGAATATTTGTTATTTCCCCGTCTGTTTCCACTCTTCTGTTTTCCACATAATTCTTCTAGTACTAAGCATAGTGTTTTTATATTTACTCCATTCTTCCTCAATATTGCCAAATACATGTGGAAGTTGTTTGAATGCTGTCTCTACTTTCTGTTGTAACTGTTCTTTTACTCCTTCCTTTTTCAGATTTGCTATCTTGATGAGATCCTTGTTTTTGGTTAATTTCTTTCTGTGTTTCTTTAATGTAAGATGTTTTGCTATTAACACAACTATTTTGTGGTCAGTGTCACATAGACCATTAGGGATTGCTCTTGAATCAAGAATTCTCCTTCTTCCTTGAACTCTGGTAAGTATAAAGTCAATCTGGCTCTTGATAGAGACATCATTCCATTTGTACCAAGTGTAAAGTTGTGAATCTCTATGGTCAAAGAATGTGTTCGTAATAAAAAGATTGTGCTGGCTGCATAGATCCAATATTCTTTGACCATTTCCATTTCTATCACTGTTCTTAGCAGCATGTGGACCTAAAAACTGTTCGTATTCTCTTCTGTTATTTCCTACCCTCCCGTTGAAGTCACCCATTACATATAGTATGCTGCTTCCCTCAACTTTCTCTATCTCATCAGACAGATCGTCAAAGAATTCATCTTTCTGCTCTTCTGTATAATTATCATGTTACTCCTTCAGCCCTAGCTTATTGATGTTTCAACTGTTAACTTGTTCAATAGCAAGCAGTTGTTACTACAGCACATTATCTCACATGGAGTTTTTACTACAGCACATTATCTCAATGGAGTTGTTACTACAGCACATTATCTCACATGGAGTTTTTACTACAGCACATTATCTCAATGGAGTTGTTACTACAGCACAATATCTCACAAGGAGTTGTTACTACAGCACGTTATTTCACAAGCAGTTGATCTGCAGCAGCAAACATACCAAAGTCAGAATTCCATGTCTGTATTCCAGGGCCCATGTTGTAGTTAAAAAAAAAAGACCCTCTGCACCCACAAGCATGATATACAAGGTGACTAATTAGGAGTTATTCTTTCAAATTTGGAGTGCATCTAGTGAAGAACCAAAAGGCTGCATACAAATAAGCCAGTTCAGTAAAAGGATGGCATGCAGATCTCAATCAAGACTAAAAACAGAAGCTGAGGAAAGGAATTTCCGTCAGAGTTTACATCCAGTGGATGCTAAGAAGAATAATAAACAGATTAAGCTGTATCATTTACCTTAAATGTCCTGACATATTTTCTTTCACCAGAAAACTCGAGCTTTTCATCGCTTGATAGATAATGTGCCAGTTGATGTAAAGTTGAGACGGAACGAAGAACTCCATGTTACTTTTCGGAAGCATGCGGAGGCCTTGCATCTAGCTCAGGTTGGAGAGATCCACTTAGTGCTAGTGGAAGGGGTGAGTGTGTATGATAAATGAAGGTGTGCAAGTTACTAGAAAGGAAACATGTATATTGTTGAGAAAAAAGAGCATTAAAGCACTATGTAGAGCCTGTGTTGTTGTATGCATGTGAGAGATGGACAATAAGCAGACAAGCTTTTTTTTTGTCTAATCCAATGGTTAAATGATGCTCTATCTAGACCGAGCGCCAGTTGTGTTTATTTCTCTGGGTCATGAATATCACAGTATAAATGACCCATCTTACATTCCCAGACAAAGTGTTGGTACAGTAAAATGGTAACCTTCTGCTTAGTTATAAATTTGCATCTCAAATTTATTTTGAAATGTATGTCTGTGTCAGCTTTTATAAGCTAGCTATATGACACAATAACTCAACACTAATTTGTGTCTGTGTCAGCTTTTATAAGCTAGCTATATGACACAATAACTCAACACTAATTTGTGAATGCGCCTTTGACTAAACGACCTTGACCAACATTTTATTTAGGTTTTAAATCACTAGCAGTGCTGCTTTGCCTGAGAAAATCCTGAAATTACGTAGGTTTTCTTTGACCCCTGTTGAACCAGTCATAGTGTGCATCGCTTCCTGACACTAATGAAAGTAAACCTTGCAAAAGTCTACCAAGATGGTTTCAGGATAAAAATATGTTGGTGGAAGAGGTTTATGTGTAATAGTAGGAAGGGGATATATATATATATATATATATATTAATTTGGAAGATGTAGCTAAGGTATTGCCTTTCAGCTCAAGAATTTTGGGATTGTTTATGCATCCATCTGGGTTTTTATAATTGGCTTGGCTTCCAGGTCAACCCAGCCTATAATGGATGCCAGGAAAATTTCCTGGAAGTAAAGATAACTGACATGGTGTTGACCACATCATCCATTGAGTTCCACTTGGTCTGTAATAATCTGGGTTTAGCAGCATAACCCTGAAATGTCGTAGGCATGAAAGGGGTTATTTACTTACTTTTATGAAATGGATCGGAACATTAGTGAAGAAAAATTAGAGAAGAACATTTAGGATTATTTTAGTGCATGATAATTTCCTTGTCAGAATTCAAGCCATGAATAACAGCAGACTCAATTCATCCTGGACTGTGGGATACATTAGGATAGTACATGCTGCTGGAGGTGATGGCGGTGACACAGGCTTTCTTGTGGCTGGGATCACACCACTATTCCTCTCTCTCATTACCAACAACGCCTGCATGCCTTGCGATGAATATTGTAGAGTTAAGCCCTTATCAGCAATTAGTTGCAGGTGGCCACATCTTCAATGGCAGCCCAAATTTGGAAAGTAGCTACTCACTCACACTTCATTCTGCTGGACACCTCATTACTTCTGCCTGACATAAAAATAGTGAACTTGTCATTTTTAGTCAGTGAAATATTGTTTCCACCGTGCACAATTTCTATGCAGGAAAGCAAGAGATCAGCAGAAGACCTTGCAGGAAGAAATGATGCCAACACTAAAGTTGTGTTTCACCATAGGCCACTCAAGTATGGACCAGAACTGCTTGGAGAAGAAAGTCGTGTCCAGCCAGGGGATTATGTTGCTGTAGAGGTAAGCTCAGTGATTAACAAATTATTTTGTTCACTGGTTTTGTAGTAATGTTTGCATAGGAAGTCTATAGAGTTTTTAGTGTTTTTCTGGACTCTTTGAGTACCAGGGAACACATCACGTGCTAATCGGTTACTTCTCAGACAGCCATTTGTCTCATGACATGTTCATGTTTTAAATATTCAACTGGCTAGTATAACAATGCAAACCAGCAGTTTTGAATGGTATTTCCTGTTTTTTGTGTTCAATGTAACACGTGTTGACCATAAGGCATATTTAAAAACTGTGGTTAAAAGCATAAAATATACCATGTTTGTGAGCTTTACCAAGTTACTAAGGGTGTATACACTAGGGGTGTACCGAATAGTGATTTTTACTATTCGACCGAATACGAATAGTGAATCATCATCATCAGGTGCTTTGCCGACTGGCATGGGTGATTATGCCTCACCATAATCTGCGATCTCCTGCAGCGTGTATCAGTTCGTGTACCGACACACCTCCATGCCATGCAACACGACTGTCAAGAATCTTCTCTCGTTGTCTTCCTCTATCCCTCCTTCCACATATCTTTCCAGTGGTCACCACATGTTCCATTTTTCCTCATCTTATAACATGGCTGAAAAATTATGACTGTCTCCTTCTGATGTCTTTGAGTAGTTGTCTTCGGGCTCCTGCCTTGTGACGAGCGAAAGCTTGGCGTACAGTGTGACGTGCTGTAACGGCTGCGTGGTGATGTGCGGCGTACCAAAGATGAATAAGGACGTCGCAATGTAACAAATGGCATCAACAACTTAATATGCCACTGGCCAAGTGTAACACAAGATGATGAATGTTGAAGCTTCCAAACGTAGCGGAACGGGAACTCTATTTAAAGGTTCCATTTGTGTATTGATAATAGCAATGATCAACACAAGGAGAAAATATGCAATTAATAATCCAGACTCATTCAAACACATCAACAAAAGCCCGCTTGTACTTCCATGGACTGATATGTTCTAACGACGGGTCGCAGTCCGACCTTGAGATCCAGACAGTCATCTGAATAAGGTAATGTAAGTATACCGGCTTACTGCCGAACTGTGACAATATACCAGCTTTCTGCTGAGGTCTATAGTGGAGTCCCGGGGTAAAACGTCCTTAAGGATCCAACTGAATACAACATCTGCTTCCGTGGAGTCCCGGGGTAAAACGTCCTCAAGGATCCATGTTTTGCATCCTTCAGTCAGTCAGTCTGTGGTAACTAATACCTAGGAATGAAAGTATTCTTAGTTTTGTAACAAGTACTAAACTTGTAAATTGTCACTAACAGCTTAGTTAATCCATGAAAGCGACATTAGCTTTCCTAATTTTTTTGTTTTTCCATGTTGTCAGCATTAAGGCAGCTTCTTGTCTCACTGAAGGTATTTCCAGCTGTACAATACAGACAATCACTTGGTACGCTCATAGGTGGTGCACAAAGATAACGCTTGACAGTATAAACCAATGTGGGAAATTTTGATATGTTCATTTTCCACCAGTCTAGAAACGGATGTAAGGTAACCACTATTCGTATTCGGCCGGCCGCAACTATTCGGCTGAATACCGAATAGTTATTAGGTCCACTATTCAGCCCCGAAGCGAATATTCGGTACAACCCTAGTATACACACACACACACAATTTATCTGGTACAAAGAGAATAAATACTAGTGAAAAAAGCAATATACTTCAGTGTCAGTTATGTCTAGAATGATTCTCTTATTGTTTGAGAACATAGGCTATAAAATTATGGGCAAATTGAGTTATATAAAGTTTCATTTTTGTGTGTGAAAATACTAATTCTTTTCGGAGATCATTTTTCTTTACCCCAAAAAAAGTGCTTTGTTATGATGTTCTAAAAGTTTCTCTGAAATGAGATCTAATGGACAGATAGTGTTTATGTTTTATTTATACATTACTAGGTGATTCGTATTTATTTGTGATTCATTTATGGATTTATTTTATCGACTTTTCCGTGAGTCGCCATGGTGGTAAGTGAAGCAGTTATTTCTTTTTACTAATTTCTCTAAACAAATCCGCTGTTTATTTACTAATAATTAACTACTAACACAGTTTATTTTGATAGCAGTATTCTGATATTATTACATTGATATATAATATGTGTATGTTGCTCGGCTGTCAGAGGCCAGTTCGGCTGCGGGATGAATAGATGTGATGATAGTGAATCATCACGTATGAACGAGTTGACCCTCAGTCAAACTCAGAGCAAGATCGGGCAGTTTGACCACGGAATAAACTATGTCGACTGAACTGGGTTAAGCCCCTGGCCCCACTAGTGACACGAGTTACAGCATGTCAGAGATAAACGCTCAAGAGGAACAAAAGGCTTCGACTGAACTTGTTCTGGGAGTTGTGTAGTAGGACGCTGGACTGGACAGATGTAGGACGGCGACTCGTAAAACTTATCTTAGTTTAGCGACGGTTAGATCGAATAGTATTTGTGGTTAGTATTTAGGATAGGTTATGTTTCCATGCAGTGTGTTGACGAGATAGTGTAGCGTTAATGTTTCTTGTATAGTAGGCGTTCCATGAAGTATTTGTTAAGCAGCTAGTTAATGTGTGATACGCATTGTTGATGGCGTTAACACTGCCCACTCATACTTGGACCATTCACCTTACGTGTGTCACTGAGTCCCACGTGGAATAGACGGCGGCTTATTTAGCGCTGTATGACTGTGTCTGCAATCGTGTCCTTGGTATATCCATGGGAACAGCTCGGGTTGAATAGTGAATGTAAAAGCTATATTAACGCTGGTGTTTTGGATAAGGACGGTCAACTTTGTTGAGGTGCTATAAGTTTAATTGTTCTTTGTACATTAAAGATTATGTGTGTACTCAGTAGGTGCGTGTTTTAAGTGTGTCATAGGATAGTTAAGTCTGTTAACTGGCCTACCTAACGAGCTATAGGAAGTATATTATCAGAGTAGGTCCGAGACAGCGGCAGTCAAATTATTATGATCTGTTTCAATGTTCAACACTTGAAATTTCAAAATTGCATTACCACCCCTTGGACCTCTAATGCTAAACCCCCTGGGACTCAGAGAGTTAAAGTTAATGCTGTTTGACGTTGGCTCGTGTGTCGCCTACAGCATTCTATCTCATGTACTTTATTAACTTATGACTTCAATTATCTGGTATGACATGATGTCAGACTGTCCAGCATCAACTCTGTTGGCATTCTTCTACCTCTCTTCCCCTCCAACTTTCCTGTTGTTACGACATACTCCCGTTTTCCCTTCTCAGAATGCGACCATAAAATATAGAATGTCTTCTCCTGGACAGATAAAAAGAGCAATGAAAATGTCTTGAAGGAAATTAACTCACAAAGAGAACTCACTACCCACAACAGCTGGAGAGAATTTACAGTTCTGCTCAAATTATAAGAAAGGGGAAACTGGATGTTATTGAGTTTCTAAAAGAATTGTGAAGACTCTTACTATCTCTTAGCCTCTCTTGCTCAGGCCTACCTCACCTTCATGTGATGGAGCCTGTTTTCCTCAGTAATCCAGAGGAAGGTTGGGGTTTCAACCTGGAAAATTAAAGGGGCCACACACGATGCTTGGGTGAAATCCGGATTCACCTGCCAGCTACTAAGTTGAGTGCATGGTCCAACACTGTGAGCTGTGGGTATCATATGGATTGCTTTTCCTCTGTTCTCTTGAAGATTTTTGTGTGTAAACTGCAGATTCAGTAAATGAGTGGCTTGTTGCCACAATTCCAATTCCAGTTGATAAACAAAAATTCCAAACTTGATCCTTTTTCAAGTTTGCCACAGAATTGGTGGTGTGCCTTATACATAAATGTATGTACACCTGCTACCTTGTTTTGACTGCTGTCACCTGGCTTTGCTGCCAGGACTGCTGTCTTTCATCAATCATGAACTGCAATTCTAGCGGCAGAGGATTGGTTTTGGCATCTCTGGCAGCTGCTTTATGCGTTTAATTTATATATAAGCTGTTGAGTGTTGCCAGGACTGCTGTCTTTTTGACTTTTTTTTACATGGGACAGTGATAAGAATTTTGTGCAGTTTTTACTGGCACAGGAGTAGAGCAGATATCGATTGACCTATCTGCTTGTAGTTGGAACCACAGCTGATAACCTGGATTCCATAGCTACAGCAGGAAAGATGGAGGATAAGTGAGGGAGGCACAGAGAGACCAAGAGTGAGGAAACTACACAGTTTGAGTTCTGTCATGGAGAATTGGTCTGAAGAAGGTTGTGGACAGACAGGACTATCCACATAAATCATGGAGCATTAGAAAGAAAAAGCATCTGTTTTATCTTAGCTGGGATACCTTCCAGGTGTAGGACCAGCACAACAATTGACCACGATATCCAAAGACAGTCAACAGGACACCATCTGTGTAAACTAAACTATCAGCTGTGGCACAATGTAAACTAGAAATCTCATTTATAGCACTGGAAATAGCCAAAGGATAGGACAAGTAACAGTGGATAACCCAACAGATTAAAAAAAAAAAGGTCTTTCACAACAGGTGGTATGTGGCCAGATTCCCCCCCCCCCCCCCCCCCCCCCCCCCTGTTCTTAAACAAATTTACGAACGAATTTGACAACATTCAAGTATTTTAAAATATTTGTTTTCTTTCATCTTTTAGATAACTTCAAGTACATCCCAAGTTTTAAAAGGGCGATCACTCTACAGAACAACTCTGCAGGACTTCTTTCACACAGGAAATATTTCATACAAGGGCAGTAATCTGACAGCCTGTTTATAAAACGATGTAAGAGTTATAAATTTGTTACTTTAGGTTTAAGAGTAGCAGCTGATACAAAGTAATTCTGTAATATCTGAAATACCCTGTTGAGCCTTACCAGGTTGTAGTCACTTTAACTATATATGTATGTTAATTGTGTCTGTGGCTTAGGGTTACTTAGTACACACTTAGTAGTGCCAGGCTCATGCCAGTTGCGAACAGTTTGTCTTGCATTGGTTTTGACAGTGGTACTGAGAGCTGACCGTTTATAAAGTGTAAAATTTGCCTAGAAAAACCACAACAGCCAGAAAATACTGGGGTTGGTTCTGCAGCGTCTTGTAAAGGATACACGGCTAACAAAAATGTTAATTGTTCAACTAAGTTCACCCAGGGGCCAATGTTTGGAAAATGGATATTGTAACGGGCCCCAGCTTGGGAAGATCAGTAATGCACGACTGACCCAATGTGCGGGTTCCGGGGCCCTATTATAGGGAAAACAAGAACAGATCCCCTTCCTACCCAAAAGCATTCCGAAAGAGTCGACTGATTAGGAGCTTCTTTCGAAGACGGAGTGCATCTGCCTGAGAGGCAAGGAACCAACAGTCTGCACACAGATGTGTCAGATCTGTCAATGTGATGCACACGCAGCCCGCAGGTTCTGGAACAGGACTGCAGTCCAGAAGTGGACAAACAACCAGAACTTTCCACTAGAGTTTACAGATGGTGAATGCGAAGAAGACACCACTGACAAGGATCCACAGGCCACCTGTTGAGTTTCCATAGGCTAAATTTGACCTCAGGCTGCCGGTTAAAAAGCCCTGCATTTTAGGATGTGGCAAAAATTTGTGTTGGTCTTAAGTGGTTTTATTAGGCAGTCTTATCATAAGCAGTTCATCACGTCCTGACATGCAGAGGGACTGTCACATGACATCCTGACATGCACAGGGACTGTCACATGACATCTTCTTCTTCTTCTTTGCCTTCGGTTTCATATGCTCAGATCAGACCATCAGGTGGGTTGCCTCTATGAATTCGCATGTCAGCTGCAGGTCCTGCATGGTTCCCCATAGCTTGCTCGGCACACTTTGCTCTTGAGGCCAGGTGTCTTTTCGAAGTTGCAGGTAGAGTGGGCAGGTCTGCAAAATGTGCTCAGGTGTTTGGGGTCCTGTTTGACAGGCACACTGCAGGGACTGTACAATATTTATTTTATGCATGTGGTAGTTGAGCCTGCAGTGTCCTGTTCGTAGACAGAAAATTGTTGTATGTTGCTTTCTGTTGAGTCTGCTGATGGGGTCTTGTGGATGTTTACTGTTGGTTTGTTCTCTCCACAATCCCTTGTATTTTCCTTTGATAAGTGTTCTGATTTCTGGTAATGACAATGAATGGGCGTGTTGTTTCTCTTTTGTTTCATATTTTGCAAGTCTTTCTGTTAACTCATTTCCTGGTATGCCGCAGTGAGCCGGGATCCACTGGAGAACAATTTGATTGTTTTCTGTGAGTCTGTTTAGCTGACGGGTCAGTTCTCTTCCATGTTGTCTCGTGGATCCCTATGAGTCGCCTGGAGGACTGACATGCAGTCACAAAGGAAAACAATTTTGCTGTTTTTAATTTTTCTTTTCCCGAGCACTTTGGCTGAATCAATAATTGCTTGCTGCTCTGCTCTGAAGTTTGTTGAGAGTCTTCCGGAGGCGCATGATGTTTCTACTGTGGTCCCATCTTGCAGCATGATGACCGATCCAGCTCCTCCATTTTTGTCTGCTCCCTCCAATGATTCATCGGTGTAAACATGTGTCCATTTGGGTTTTGGATAACAGTTGTAGACATGTTCAAGGGTCTTTGCACGCAGTACTAGGTCACACTCTTCAGCCTTTCTGCCTATGCCTGGAATTGTTGTTGTGACTGTATATTTAGGCTGTAGGTCTATGTTGTATGCCTAGATCATTTCCCATGTTGAAGGATCTTTAGAAAGGATGTCACTGTTTTTTGTGTAGTATAATTTTGATAGATGGTGAAAGCTTTGTCTTTTCAGTCGGTTTTTGGTTAAGTTATTTGCTACTCTGTGCATGGGGTTGTTCATGCGTTTACATTTTTCTGTTAGGGTAAGCACCTTTTCTTCCCTTCGAAGGCTCAAGCTCTTGAGGCCACAGGTTGCCTCCAGTTCATTAATTGGTGTGCTTCTCATACCTCCAGTGATGATTCTGAGACCAGTGTTCTGTATTTTATCCATTTTGTGTAGGTTTGATTTGGCTGCAGTGGAGTATGCTCCCATGGCATACTCCAGTTTTGGTCGTACGTATCCTGTGTATACTTGTATACAGTGTTGGCATCTGCACCCCAGCTTGTTCCAGTAAGTTTCTTCATAAATCTGAGCCTCAGGGTAGCTTTCCTTTGGGTGTCTTCAATGTGGGGGCCCCATGTTAGCCTTTTGTCAAATTTTACTCCCAAATATGTGGGGTTATCCTCTTTTGGAAGGATGTTGCCTTCTAGGTACATATCAACCTGTTCTGGCTTTGTGGAAAGAGAGAATAAAGTTGAGACGGTTTTGGTCTGGTTTATTGTGACTCCCCGAGAGTCTGTCCATTTCTTAACTTATTTATAGCTTCCTGCATTCTTGTTTTAGTTGTTTCTATATGTTCAGTTTGAGTCCATATGGCCAGGTCATCTGCGTGTAGCGCCTTTTGAATGTGAGTCATGAACTGTTTTGGGAGGTCATTGATGAAAAGAATAAACAGGGTAGGAGATATAACACCTCCCTGGAGGACACCTTCTTGTAACCTGACCAGCTTACTTTTGTGATCTTCCAGTCTGACTCTCGCACAGCGTCTGTAAAGGAAGTCTCTAATCCAGGCAAACATATGCCTTTTTATCCCACAGTGTGCTAGTTTTAGCAAGAGTCCTTTCTTCCAGGCCTTATCGAAGGCTTTGGTCAGGTCCAGGTGCCTTCCTTTTCTTGAGATTTCCTAATGCGCATTCAAGTTCTTGGGGACTGAAGAGTTTATTTATTATATCTTGGTTATTTTCCTGCTTTTTATTTATTTTCCTTAGTTCTCTCGTCACTTCTTCTTCTCTCGCTCTAGACATGAAGATTTTGCTTTCCTCTGCAAAACTATCAGCCAGCAGGTTTGCTGCTTGTTTACCAAGTTTTTCCACCATCTTCAATGACAGTGTGGGCATGGCTGGTATTATTCTCCTCATTGAGACCCTTTACTAGATGCCATAGCTTTTTTCCATCTTTCTCCATGTTGAAAGCTGCAGTCTTTTCCTGCCATCTTGTCCGGATGCATATGAGTTTTTCTCTTTTATAAATAGCCTGATGTTTATTGTGTTCTGTTACGTTGAGGTCAGAGGGATCTTGTTCCATTTTTTCTCTTGCTTCAGTGCTTCTTTGGTGCAGTTGTTGCAGTTCTTGGGTCCAGAAGGGTTCATAGTTTTGCCTTCGACCTCAGGGGATTGATTTTTCTGCTGCTTCGAGTATGATATTGGTAAGAGTTGTGGTGTTTTTTCTAACCTCATTAGTGGGAAAGGGCTCTGATAGTTTCTTTTCAGTTGAGTTTTGGTAGAGGTCCCAGTCTGCTTTCTTGTAGTTCCAGCTGGCTATCTTCTTCTTATTTTCTGGAGGCTTCATCACATCCTGACATGCACAGGGACTGTCACATGACATCCTGACATGCATAGGGACTGTCACATGACATCCTGACATGCACAGGAACTGTCACATCACATCCTGACATGCACAGGTCAGGGACTGTCACATCACATCCTGACATGCACAGGTCAGGGACTGTCACATCACATCCTGACATGCACAGGGACTGTCACATAATATCCTGACATGCACAGGAAATGTCACATGGTAGAGGTCCCAGTCTGCTTTCTTGTAGTTACAAGAGCCTTAATTATATCTTCCTTCCTTAGAGGCCGAATATCACTTCTCAGTCTTGTGTCTAAGATCAGAATGTAGCTCTGCTGCACTGGGTCTACCAAAAGAAACGGGTCGGTGGTCGTAGATCATACACACAAATAGGGGAAAATCCAACCCTGTCAGTCTGCCATGCAGCCTGAGATTTTTGTAATCTGAGGGTATCCAACCTGGGGGCCCATAGAGGACAAAACTGGCACTGTAAGTAGTCTGTTTTTGCCCTGCCTCTGAGTGGTTGACCTTCATACTATTGTCCCAGTCAGCAGAACCTGATCTGCTGCCAAATCACCCTGGGTCTGTCAGAATTATGAAACTGCATTCATGACCCTTGAGTTGCAGAATCTGGGATGGACAGAAACTTTTATTGACTCACTTCACATGGTTTCATTATATATTTCTGCTTTTGTGTTGCAAATACTAATTACTAATTTTTTTTTAAAAAGAATTAAAAAAAATTGATAAAACTGAACAGTGTACTGTCATATTTTTAAAAATCTTTATTTCATTCTGAACATGTTAAAAAAGAAGGAATGGGCTCAAGAACTTGGTTAGATTGTTCTTGGTATGATTGATGGAAAGAGAGCAAGGGGAAGGCAAAGAGATAAATATCTAGATTGCTTAGCCATACTGATGTGGTGTGACCAGAACACTGACCTTATTAGTGATTCTGGTGATCATGTTGGATGGCAAAACATGACAGCCTATGCTTAGTTAGCATGGCACGTAATGATGATAATTTCATTAATTTTTTTTATTTACAAGGAGATGTAGGAAGTAAAGGCAGCTAATGTAATTATGAATCAGTGAATGTATGAAATCTTTAAGGAAAGAAATACAATGTTTTTAACAATCCTTCTCAAGTACTATACCTCCTGACAAATCTTGTCTCTGGAATACAATCTACACAGTCGAATCTTCCTCTGTAAAGAAACAAATCTCTGATACAAATACCACTTTACCCTAACAAATCTTGTCGCTGGGATCCAGCGATATTCCTTTGTGTAAAAAAAAAAAAACATCTTTAACACAAGTACATGTTCTCCTGACAAAGCTTGAATCTGGGAGCCAATCTTCCACAGTTAGATATTCCTCTGTTGAAAAA